GGGCCGGGACCCCGGGGTATAACCCAGAGGGTCCCTTGGTACCTTCTAAGGAGGTACCGAGAGACCCCTTTTTACCCCCCAAAAGCCATCCTCAGGAAGTACGGACCCTCTGGGTAAGTGCTTCAACCAGTCCAGCGCTTGAGGCGATTTGTTGCAAGCCGCGAGCGGTTTCACGACTCGACTTGCGGAAAGGACCGGCCCAGGCCTCGCCAAGACTCAGGTCGATGATGGGCACATCTGTGAAAGACTTCGGGTCCACGATCTTGGCCTGCGACAAAAACCGCATGAGCTCAGATGATCCAGATGTCCAGTGGATTTCCATGGGCAACAAAGGACAAACCGCATCATGAGCTCAGATGTCCAGTGGATTTCCATGGGAAAAAATGAGCATCCTCTTTTGGTTGGTTGACTTTAAAGGGGAACCCTTCCCAAAAAGAAGCTGAAAAAGTTGGCACCACTGGGCAACTGGGTGAGGATCGAATACCAGGACGAAACTACCCTTTTTTCTACCCTGAACCTTGTCCCATGGAGTACACCGAACATCATATGTTCAAAAGAATGTTCATGGTTTCACCCAGAACTATAAGTTATAGTTTCGGAAGAGACCTCAAGAACAAACATGCCTCGGAAGCGGCGTGCTTTTGAGACCGCACAACAGGTCCACCCTCAAACATGACGCACCCGTTCCCGGCGCAATCCTTCGACACTTCTCAAACTCACTCTTACACTTCCCCAGCCACGGGAACGAGAACACGGCACCTTTTTGTTGCTAGATGTCAATGGGAGATTAATCGAGTTCTTTCAGACTCATGGATATGGCTGTGGTTGTCAAACATAGGGTACCCCCAACATTTGAAACCCTGGCGAATGGAAACATGGACTGAAACCTGCGGTCCCGTTGTGGTTCAATTTTGACCCATACCCATGGATGGGGCCCGTTTAGGAGACTCGATCCTGCATTTTCGGCCAAAAATCGCCCTATTCCTCCTCGAGGTCGACTTATCTCACTTCAACACATGCCGTCTGAATTGGGGGAGGAAAACACAAGTGAAGCTTTAACACACGCTGGTGTGCGTGCTGAATGTCTGAAGGGCGCGACAACCTCGTTTCAAACATGTTACCCCCTCAATGAACAAGTGAAGTGAAATGACCAAGCCTCAGAAACGGCGACTGGTTCACCCCCAAAAACACATCCCGGACCCTCAAACCATGCCAAACATGGGGCGATCATCCCACAAGCAATGCCCCGTCGGCGGTTTGTCCAGGGTGACTACTTTCACATCGCTTCCAAAAGGCCCAAAAGGCTGTTCTTTCAAACCATCCCGCAGGAATGCCATCGGCAGAGCCAAATGGCTTCCCTCCCGCTTTTCGTTGCATTTGTGGCTCAACACAATGAAAGCAGTCCAACCCCCACTCGCCTACCAACACCTTAGCCCTGACCTTTATTGTCTTATTCTGTTTTGAGGCAGCAGCAGGGCCGCTCTTCTCTATGTTGTTTCTTCTTCTTCTTATTTTATTTTTCTTTCAACCACCAGCAATGCCCCTTGCTTTTTCAGGGACATTCCAAAGTCGCGGCCATTGCGCGCTCAGGGTCGCCTTCAGCGACTCGGGCAAGCTCAGCGGGATGTTGGGCTTCACCGTGAGCAGCTCGCTGGGGACTTTGCCTCGCGGATTCGCTTGGCTTGCCCAAACGAGCCCCAGACAAAGCGAGTCGCTTCCTGGAACCCATGGGAGAAGTCTTGACGTTGGAAGATGAGCAACAATTCTAAAATTCTAGCAGTGAAGTGGTTGGATTTCAATCACTATAAACCACAATAAGCAAAAATGGTAAGAAATGCTTCCCAACAACAACCATGAATTTGGCGGGCGTGCTGGCTGTGGGAGGCTTGCGTGGGCCCCATTTGCGCTCCGTGGCCGAGTCGGGCGCAGGCAGATGAAAAGGCAACCATCAAGAAAGTGCTGAAGAGACACACGGCCTTTGCGGTTTCTGTGATCATCCCTGCGGAAATCATGAACAGCTTCTTTTCTGCCCCAAGTTCAACAATTTTGTGGGGTCAAACTCTAGATACCATTTGGGTCACCCCCTCCTTTTGTTCCATGTTGAGTCAGGGAATCTGGGGAATTCGTTTTGGAACGGCCAAAATTTCTGGCCTTAGGCGTTGCCGGAGTTTCAGGCATGTCGGACGTTGAGAGCAAGAGGCCTCAGCTGGTATCCCTTTCTATGACAAAATGAGGCTTCCCAAAAATTAGATTTCCAAAAAAATGAAGTATCCCCAAAGATGCGGTATCCCAAAAGAATGAGGTATCCCAAAAACATTGGAGAAACAATCTGGCATTTTGCCAAAATGAGGTTCCCCCCCCGACCAACACAAAAAGGCAGTACACCCACGTGGCCATAATGTTCACTCGGGAGGGACTTATGTCTGCCAACCAATTCCAAGGGAGTCATGTGATAGAATAAGCCCAGGTGGTATTTGGAAACAGCCCAGGATCCTCCTGGAACCCTCCTTTCGAAGGTGTCAGGTCAGCAAGTAAACCTTGGACCCTTTCCCCCTTAAACGTGGGAGACCGCCGCACGATTAGCAGGAATCCCTATGTTTCCAATGTATAAACATCACCCCACCAAAAGGACACCTACTTCGAACTGGCAACCGAAAGGCGATGCCTAAAATTAAGGCGTCCAATCCCAACACTATCATGTCAACAAAAATATGAAACACAATAAGTGGACACAAACTAAATATAGTCTAAAACCCGGACATATTAGAGCCATTGGCCGAGTTTCATGGGCAGTTTGAGAATCGGTCGAGGCACCTTCGTCCCCCAAACGGGAGTTCGAAGCGAAAGCATGCGATCGATTTGCCTCGCACGTAGATATTGTCCTCGCGATCGCCGGATTGGACCTTGAGCCGCGGACGCGCCACGGCTTGGTTCCCTGCACCGGAAAATGCTCGAGTAAGCCCCCTGGTTTTGCGGGATAGTGAGATCCAAAATGTTTTTGGCTTCGAGTGGCTATGGCTATAACATGTCAGCAGTTCCACTCATAACCATGGTTTTAGCCTTCAGAACATAAGCTGAAGGTCGAAACACTTGGAACCAGAAACAAAAACACCGGTCACCTTCGCCTGATTTAGAGTGGTAGAGATTGCCGTTCACCATTTCACTTTGGAAACAAGGGAGTGGAGGTGCAACTCCAAAACGTGTACACAGCAAAAACAGGGCTCTTATCTGGCTTCTGGGCAGGCTAATGTCCATGCAATAAAGGGTGAGCCACAGTGGAACTCATTCGACAGGACACAGGGATGACATGAACACATCCATTTGCTGAAGTCGTCGTCCACTGGAGAAGAAAAACAAGAACAACATGTCCAGTGATAGATTTCCTTTAAAACCAACAGGGGAAAATACAACAATATGTTTTAAGCAACTGGATGAAAGTGACTCAAGCTCATTGACTCACGATGCTGCTCCCTAGCCTAGCGATGTCCTGTTTTGGGTACGTGTTAAAATCCTTGCTGATGCGAGAGGGAATGACGAGTCAGGGCAAACGGGAATGAACTTGAAAACGATTCCCGTATACCGAAAACCACCGGTTGGATGGCTTATGGGGGGCATTCCCTTCCCTGCTGAAAACAAGCAAACCATCAGAGGACCCCAGAACTGGTGGTTTCCCGTTTGGCTTCACTTTCAACGGACCTGAGAAGGGTACGCTCAAAAACAAAAAACTTTTGACCCTGGGCAACTTGCGGCTCCGGACATGGGGGACTCACTGATGTTCAGTTCGCTTGGGGCCTCGAGACAGTTCCCATGTCCATGGTGCAGATTTTGGCCGTTGGCATGGTGCCCACTGTGCCTTCTACCCCTTCTAGGTCCTCCAGTAGAGAGGTTAGAAAAAGGGTACCCGAGTGTTTTTTTCTTCTCTGTAGTCCATTTTAGTAGGGGAACCGAATCTCCCCCAAAAAAGTTGGTCAAAGGGCAATAGTGGGGGACCTAGCCTTGTACCAGGGCTCCCAATATGTCAAATCTTTAGCCAAACGCAACCAAAAGGACACACCATCGGCATTTTGCCCAAAGGTGTGGCGGGATCTTCTTTAAAGGTTGGACCTCCAAAATGGCTTCGGTCTTCCTGTTGGTGTTCCTTTGAAACCACCAAAAGGGGGAAACCTCAAAAAACGACGAGCCATCCATGTGCTGTTTAAAGCTAGTAACTTGGAGAAACACAACGGGGAACCAAGGTCCCCTGCGAGCTCGAGATCAATGCCCATCTGCGCCGCCTTCTTGGTGTCAATGACCTTGGCGCGTTTCAGAAAACAAAGCAGCACCCACGGAGCGTGCTAAACACGGACTCCACGGTATGATGCAACAAAAGGGTAAGTGTTGATTGGGAGGAAAGTCTTGCGCATTTCAAGAACTAGCCAGTCTGTCCCCCAAGAATACGGTTGCTTGCTCCGCCTCTTGTCCAAAGGGGACATGAAAAACACAGAGCAACCCTTGCCTTTAAAACCAACAGGGCAAAATGCAAGCAAATGGAAGATGATGTCCAAATCGCAGAGTCGCGTATCTTCGAGTGGCCGGTTTCGCAATCGGCTAGCTGGCTGGCAACTTGCTGTCTGCAAATCCTTCGAAATGATACAGTATGTTCAAATGGCTGCTCAAAACATGCTATCCCTCTATCCCCATTCTTTCCAGGGATCCTTCGTTTCATGACTATTAAAAAGAGGGGAAGCAGCTGGTCTTGGAAAAGAACGATGGTTGAACAGAATGGGGAATCAACCCCTAGAATCCCCCCAAAACGGCAGTGGAAACAAAGACCAACACCTTGTGCAAACCCTGGCTCTCGAGATGAGCCACAAAATTGAGGAAACCCAAGGTTTTTCCTCTTCCAATGGTTGGATTGTGACTCCGATGTTCCAAAAAGCAAAAGAATCCTTCCAAGACTCATCCTCCTGAGAGAGCCGTGTTCCGAGATACAAACGACGTCGCTCTCCCATGGGAAGCTGATCGAAGGGTGTTGAACATGCTTGCGTCAGCCTGCAAAAGCTGTTCGAGCTTCTCAGAAGGGGAAAATGAAGGAAAACCCTTTCCGGCCGCTAAATCTGGCAGTGGACAAGTTCATATGTTCTGTCGTTTTCTTCTTGAGAAATGGGGCATACAAGTTCCTTGCTTCAAAGAAACTTCCAGGGATTCTTCAGAAAAAGGGATCACTCCGACTCATTCCCCAAGCATGATGGGTAGGAGAAAAAACGACAAGGCGAAAAGATCAGCTAAGTCTGGCCAAGTTAAACTGGCTTGCCATGTTGGAAAGAGGGTGCACCAGGGTGAAAGTAGATGGCTCCAGTCCCTTGTTGGCAAGTTCAGGGAATGAATGAAAGGCCATCTTTTACCCAACTGTATGTGAGTACATAAGTGAAATGGAAGCCAATATGAGCAGGTACTTCCTTCCCATGTGAGTCATAGGCAAAGCCTGGCATTAAAATGGTCTACCCAGAACCACGTAAATAATTGAGAAGGCGGCCGCACCCATGTATTGCTGTGACTCACTGGCCCTTACTAACCTTCACTTACCCGGGTTTTGAGCGCGTGGCTCATGTTGGCTTCATCCTCTCCGAACACCTTCATCTCCCGCCCAACTGTGGATGGACAAAATCCATTTCGCGCCACCTAAGAAAACCCTGGTTTCTGATGATTCCGCTCTAACATACCAATAAACGTTAGTTGCGGTGTCGACCCTGGTGTCGTTTCGTGGCGCGATGTCTGGATCTCGCTGTACCATCCATATCCAAATGGAGCCCCCAACATTTGGTGGTATTCGTTTTATCTTCGAAACTCAAGAAGCTACCTTCCAGGACACCACTTGAAGGGTCCAAAGTCATGCATGTCTTTCAAATGCCTGGTGTCATGCTGGTTCCCTGTCTTCTGCTGACTCACTATCTTGGTTGACGTTGGAAGGGGAGCCAAAATCTAAATTGTAGCAGTTCAGTGGGGATTTCAAGCACTAAACCACAATAAGCAAACATGTAACATGCTTCCCAACAACAACCATGCAATTGGTTCCCTTCGTTGGTTCCCTTCATTTCCCCTTTTGGTCGATATTGTTTTTTTCTATTTGGGTGTGGCTCAAAATTCAGGAGCCAGGGTTACGCACTTTTTAGTCTTTGGTTCCATTTCCCAAGGCCATGTTGGAATTCCGGTTTTTTGAGCCACGGCCGTTTTTTTCTCCGAGGGGCGAAGATGGCGTCGGGGTGCCGATCCAGTCCAACACGGTCCCGCTCCATCAAAAAGTGCACCGCCTCGCCGGATCCGTCGCCAGGACAGATCCCAGATGCAACCAGACGTGGCGCTTGGCGAATGGGAAAACTGGGTATCAAGGAAATGCATTTCCGGGCCGGGGGGGGGGGGAGTTGGAGGTTTGCGGATTGTTTGGAGGGTGTATTAGCTGTATTCCACATGCAGAGGGGGATTAGAGCAGACATCTAACCTCTGTATCTCCAAGCAACCCACCTGAAAATAATTGCAACTTGATTTTAGTAGGGTCGTAGCAAGACCCCCTGAAGGGCATCTGTGGTTGATCGTTAGCTATACGCATTGAGGCATCAGGCGATACAATTGCGATACTGTTGCCTCAAAAAATCAAAGAACCTCAAAGGACCTTTTGGGCCCGTGGCTAAGAATGGTTGCCAAATTGAGAAGCTAGAAGGTCCAAAGGTCGAAATTCGTTTTGGGTTGAGTCTAGCCTTTGAGAGAGAAGCGCCGTCGCTGGCGTCGCACTGGGCGATGATTCCTATGAACTGCTCGCTTCAAATTGGCCAATTCGATCGCTTCCCAGCGAAACTGACGATTCGGAATTGAGGCGTTTGGAAGGTGTTGGACCTCAAAAAGGAATTGCCTTATAAAAAGTAACCTTGGAGGAGATCCCTGCCAAACTCTTTTCCCCTTCAAGAACAACAGCTTGATGGTGCTTGCACCCCAAGCACCAGCAATCTCATGCCTGCTCATCCTCGGGCAAAGCCTGGCGCGCAACGGGGCTGCAAGAGAAAAGGTCAAGCAAGAGAGAAACCATCGGTCCTTCCAAGGAGCAAACTCGGAGCCTCGAGTATCCAAACTAAATCACCCCCATTTCAGAGTTCTCTGAGCTAGCTCGATGGTCTGGCTCCAGGTTCCCCAAACGTGGCACGAAGAAGTCGCTGGGCGCAGCCTTGGACGAATGTACCAGTGGAATGCCCATCGTGATGGTGTCACTTTAAGCAACTCCCTATTGATCCTTTTCCACAGCCACGCTCATGCCTGTGCAAATCCTGATGCAAAGGACACGTTCCAGGAACTGGCAGAAAGGACCAAGACCATGGGTGCATCGGAGAATAGTTTCTACATTCACTAGGTCCTCCAGATTTGAGAGGTTAGAACTCGGGTACCCTATTTTTTCTCTGTAGTCGATTTTAGTAGGGAAGCCCTCCTCCAAATGAGTTGGTAAAAGGGCACTGGGGGACCTAGTTCAATCAAGAATCTGAGGATGCGGCACTCTCAAATTTCTAAGTTCTACTCCAGACTGTCCAGACTCGTCCTTTGTTTCCCCCTTTCAGATTCAAGGACTCCCCTACCTGAACGTGATCCTCGAGAGGCAGCCTGTATGGAGAACCCCAGAACCGATAGAAAGAGAGAGGGAGAGAGAGAGAGAGAGAGAATGAATGAGAAAGAGAAAGAGAAAGAACCAAGTGTGCTCCAAATTACAAATAGTAATACATACAACTGTTTTGCAGAATATGTTTGAAAGAGAAAGAAAAACATGTGCTCCAAGTTGAGCTCAATATATGTTCGAAAATGTCCGCCGGCTCTGCCGGACTTTACTGGTAGCTGGCCCTGTTCATGACTGTTCATTGATATCAAGCCGGATTCCCATTCCTGTGACTCCTTTGTCACTTTCAAAGGCTCTCCTTAATTGGGACCATTGACATACCCACAATCCTCTAGACTATCATAGTTAATTGTGACAATGACGCTTGCTCACTGCTCAACTCTAAATCCCTCAAGCGTGCGGCGTTGCATCGCGCTGGAGATTTCAAGTCAAACCCGAAAACAACACTTTGAGCGCACCGGTGATTCGCTTCTTTCGGCCATCTTTTGGCACATTGAAAGGGGAGCACACGTTCGTTGGAGGATGCTCCTTTAAAATTTGGGAACTTCATGGGTGTTTTCATCACCACTAACCCGCAGCCCAAGCTCCAAAGAAGGCATATCACAGTTTGAGCCGGGCTCTCAAGGGGTATTGTTCCCGGGGTCTGGTGGTACATCCTTTGGTTGTTATAAACTGAGGAACCCCGGTTTGGTTCTGAAATCGGAGGATTCCCCACTTGGGTGTTCGATTCGCCAAGTTAGTAAGTGGTTAGTAACAATGGTGTTCACCTATTTACAACCGGCCCAACTCGCTCGTACTCGTAGGTTATACCCCAAGTGGCTGACCACTTACTAACTTGGCGAATCGAACATCCAAGCAGTAAGTAGAAGGCACATGCCTCTGCGAGGCGTGGGGTGTGGTGATTTTTCTCTCCCCCATGGCTCTTCCGTCGAGATCGCTAGGCACGAGGCTGGATGTGCGTCAACATATGGATTTTGGACCCATGGGGAAAAGGGTGTCCTCTTGGTTTCCCTTTAGAACCAAACAGGGTACTCTCAGAAAACGCACAAACTTGGGCTGTCCGTTTTTGATCCCCTAGCTGCTTTTAACTTGTAGCGGTTAAAGTCGGAAACCCAACCTGCTTCAGTTGAACCTTTAACTGTTAGAGGGTTACATGGAAACCCAACCACTAAAATCCATTTGCTTAAGCCGCCTGGAAAAAAATAAACATATGTCCAGTAGTGAAATCAATGCCCTTCAAAACCAACAAGGGAAAATAAATAAAACCATCTTAAGCAAACAAAAGGGAAGCTACTCCGACCAACAGCCAAACAAAAACACTAAGTTGAGCCTTTCACGTTTAGAGACCTATAAGTTGACCCCCAGTTGAACCGGTCCGCAACCACCAAAACCCGGAGGCTTCGCTAGTTCCCTTCAACCGGTGCGAGCGTTTCACCGGGTGCGAGCCTCCGGCTCAGCCTTGCTCAGCAAGTGGCCAGGGCCCCGTCGACAGGCTTCCTGCGCGTTCTCTTGGCGTTCTCTTGGCGCAAATCCGCGAGTCTCCACCACCGAACTCAGAAACCCTGGTTCATGATGGTTGCGAAATCCCGCCAGTCTCCGCGAGTCTCGCAGCACCGAAATCTCAGACACTCTGAAACTCATGATTCGATCCCCCAACGTAAATAATAGAGAGTGGTTGCAACTATGGTTGCAGAGCGGTGCAGGATTTCGTCCACAGTAGGGAATGAGTTGGAATGACCCCGAGAAAAAGCATTCAACTGGTGGTTTCCTTCCGGGCGCCAGCAAGTTTTTCTTGGCCCCAAACCACCCAAACCACCCCCATGGGTTGAATGAGATATGCAGCCACGGAAAAAGCCACTAACTTGCTGGTTCAATAGGCAGGGAATGAGGGAATGGAATGACCGAGAAAAATAATCCCAATTTGGTTTCCTGTAAGGGAATCTCCTTCCGGTTCATTCCCAACAACAGGAAGGTCATTCCCGACTGAGCACCAGCAAGTTTTGCCTGGGCCGGATGTTGGGGATCCTGTCAAGGAAACCTCAAAAAAAAAGCCGCGTCAAGCGGTCACTTATTCTTTTGTTCAAGTGTGACATTGACGACTTCTTCAGGAAGTGGCCTTCAAAAACTGTGTGACAAATCACAGCAGGCAAACATAAGTGTAAAAATGACTTGCTGGTGCTCAGCCTAGGGTGTTGGGAATGAATCGATTAGGATTTCCTTAAAGGAAACCACTAGGAATGGTATTTCTCGGGGTCATTCCATTTCTCATTCCCTGCCTATCGCACCAGCAAACTGAGGCCCTCTGTCGCGAAAACATGAGGCTAGTTCCGGATCCGAGCCGATCGTTCCTTTCAGAAAGCTCCAATTGGTCTAGTCCGGATTGATCCGAAGCCAACAACGTTGAGCCATTGACAAAGCCCTGGTTGATTCATAGTTTGTGTCCCAGGTTAAAGGCCCCTTCCCTGCATAAGTTCGGAGTGTGGGCGGATGTATGGGCTACGTTGCGGGGACGGTGGGATAAAGTTCCCCCAATTCCTTTTGTTCTAGGCTGCCCCACAAAAAGGAATTGGAATTGTCAAACCATGGGATTCTCGGAGTCACTCCCCTCCCCCATTCTTTTTAAGCGGTGGGGGATATATGCCACAAAGAGCAAGGTGTGGGTGCGAAACTCCACCTTAGTTTCTACGTTTTGCTCCCTTGAGAAAATATGATGTCTGTCTTTTCAGGAGATGGGGGAAAATGCATGCTAAACACAACCTAAATTCAAGAATCGATGCGACCCCCCTAATTACAATGCTTCCCAATGGCAGGGAGACAATCAAGCCACATCGATGCTACTGGCCTACTTGACTGTATGTGGTTTTCGGAGGGAGATGGTAGACGTGCAAGATGGCGCCTTGTCCTCCCGGACGCTTGATTCCGTGCCACCTGGCGCGAATCGAAACTTCTCAGTGTGCCCCCCTGTTCAGTGCTCCGGATTTTCATTTTCCCGCTACTTGGTGGCTTGGAGCCCTGTGGTTTGGCGAAATGGGGTGATGTCCCACTTGCATCTACAAGAACCAGGGGTTCAAGTCCCCAAAACATTCGTGTCAGAAATCCAAGGATGCCTGCTACTTTTGTGCTTCAACCACCTGGAGGTCCCCAACTTTGAGGCACACGCATGTTAATTATATTCACTCCATTAGTCGCTTCATGTTCAGTCACCCTGAAAGTGTAAGATGCTCCTAACTCCAAAGAACGTCAGCCCTCCCATGAAAAACGGCATGATTGCTCCGTGCTAAAGCCAAAGTCCATCAGCGGAGTCTTTTCCGAACACAAATAAAGCCTTTGATGGCACCGTGCCGGCTGCCAAGTTGCGGTCTGCTTGGCTTGGCTCACCAAACTGAATTCGGTTGAACGATGAATTTACCAAACTGGGCAGTCCAAGCTCTAAGTGACATGAGGGATATATGGGGCTGTCGATTTTTGAGGGTATATTCCGTTTGGGTGGTTGTAAAGGGGAACCAACAGGAAGACCACCAACTTCGAGGGGTGTCACATTCTGAGACACACCTTCTTCCTTTATCTTTTGAACTAGCCCTCCGAAAGTTGGCCTCAAAGCTCACGGCTTTCTGCTCTTCATCGAAAGCCGCGCGCAAACGCGCAAAACGATTGACATCAACTCCGGTCAGGATGGCGCAGGGTGTAGACATGCGACCTCAGCCGAAAGAAGCAAGCAGAGGGCCACAGGAAGGGCATGGGAATCAAGTGAGTCACAATCAAAACCTGGTACAAAAAACAAGGTGAACCCAGAACCATGAAAGGAATTGAAAAGGCGTTGCCTCACCCATATAATGCTGGGATTGTCCCTTACTACCCTGAAATTGAATACCCTAAGGTAGTAAGCTGTTTTACAAGCTACTACAGTCATCAATTCCGCGTAGCACCCGTCTGGAAGTCCTACGTCTCAATCCCTGACCGTATTCCCAACTTGCTCCGACCATTTCCAACTTCTCCGACCATTGCTTTTCACCTGTTCCCACCCTAGGGAAGCCGCCTGCGGGAAGCCACTTCCGGCCATCGTTTAGCAGCCAAGGCAGCACCAATATAGGGCTGTAGAGCAGTGTCTAGGTTTTTGGTATACAACCTCCCTAAACTGACTGGAAAACCCATCCCTGGAAAAGCCCTTGCCTGGGCTGTCCTCAGATCTTCTGCTAAAAGTTTCACTTTCAGCGAGATAAATGGAAACCCAACCACTAAACCAACCAAAAACCACAACAACAACAACAACAACAACAACAACAACAACAACAACAACAACAACAACAACAACAACAACAACAACAACAACAACAAAAACAACTAAGGCAAACCGGACGATTCGCTGGTTCCGAGCCGCTAAGTCTTAGGTTCACCATGAACGTGGCTGTGTGGGAAGTCTAAGTGCCGGGCTCGGCACCCTGCAGCAGGCTCTTGAAAGGCCGTCCTGGGAAAAGCGGGTCGCCGGTGAAGGAGAAAACAACTCGTTTCCTAAAGGACCCAGAAAGTAAACTAGATTTTTCGGTCGAGAGGTTAGAATAAGGGTACCCGATTTTTTGTCTGTACTTTATTTTAGTAGGAAAACCCTCCCAACCAAAAAAGGGGTTGGAACTGAGGAAGTGAGAAAACCAACATAGCCACCAATAGGTACCAAACTCGGAAAGCCGTTGAAAGCACACGTAGCTTGGGTCGTTGGGCCTCCATAGCTCGATGGGAACTGATAGCGGTCCTGTGTTGGCTTCCCTCAAAAATGGGGCAACTCAACATCACCCCATCAGTTGCCCAACAGACCTGGAAAGCACAAGGTGATCACCCCTTGGCGCCACCAAACATGGCTCCCAAAAAAAGGGGAAACTAAAAGGTGAAGAGGTCGATTCGCCTTGGGCTGAGCCAAAAGTGAGGCCTCCAATGCCCAAAGGTAGTTTGCTGGTGCTCAGTGGGGTTGTTCCAAAAGCCTTGCTGGGGGGAGGAAACGTGGGGCCACAGTCTGTCTCTCCCTAGAAAGGAACATCAAGACGTGGTTGGTAGGGAACCACTTGGATACGGGTGCACCACTTGAATACGGGCTTCTGTGTTCATGTTTGCACAAAGTGACAAAGAATAGCATCAAATCCAGGGGGGTTGAAACATCGCGATGCTCCCCAAGCCTTGCAGGAAACAAGCAAAACAAAACCAACGCCCAAACAAAAAAAAAAGGCTTCCTTGCTGATAGGTGGCTTTTAGTATTTGCTTGGAGAGTCGAGGGGTTTTGGTTGATCCGTGGTCTTTGCGGATCCGTTGGTCTCTGTGTATCTTCCGCCTTTTGGCTGTTTGTTTTCTGCGGCTCCATGGATCCAAGTGGCTGCTGGTGGAGGACGGGTTCTTCGCTGGCAGGATGCCTGGCCGGTGACGGGTGAAACCAGCAGCGTCGTTGCAACACTCAATCCACTTGCGGGCCATGGTCATGGTGCCCATCTAGGTCCTCCAGTAGCGAGGTTGGAAAAAGGGTAACCGATTTTTTTCTGTAGTCTATTTTAGTAGGGGAACCCTCCCCCAAAAAAGAAACGGGAGAGAAAGGGCACCTAGCCGGGGGACCTAGCCATAAAACAGGGGCCACTGGAACTCCCTTTGCCAGTTCCAAGTTCTTGCGTTTTTTGTTCATGGAAGCTGCCGATTTTGGAGGCTGCACAAAACTTGGTTGACGTTGGAAGGGGAGCAAACATTCAAGTTTTAGCAGTCAAGTGGTTGGATTTCAACCACTAAACCACAATTTGCGCAAAAATGATTCAAATGTTTCCCAACAACCATGAAAAGGGAAACGGAGGAAACCGTGTAAGAATCCTCACGCCATTCTTCAACTCAAGGGTCCACCATGCCTTCCCAATGCACATGGCTGCAGCTCCTCCTTGGAGGAAGCCTCCCTTTGGCTGCCTAACAAACCTTGTCTGATGTTGCGACTCCGGGACCCTGGCCAATGGGAACAGCCACAACAGCCACAAAGCGGAAGTGTTCTTTATTGGATGGGGACAGGTCAGAATAAGCTCGTTGTGTTTTGACTAAGCCATGTTGGCCCATGAGGAATGAAGGCCCCGTAAGAACTCGAGCGTCATGGGCCCACGTCGCAGCTCAGGGAGTCCACCCCATCCGTGTGTCAAACTCAGAAATTGGTATCCCTTGGTGTATATTGGTGTCCCGTGTAAACAACCCAACAAAGGGTGTGGCGTTTTCTTTGGGGAACTCCCCCAGAAAACAAAACACAAAACAATAAGCAAATGGTGAAAGTCCTTTTGGCTTTCCTTTAAACGCCTCAAAAAAGCACACCCACCCGGTCCAAACCACAGTAAGTCAATGCTTGGGTTCATATAACCACCATTGTTTATTTAATCCACGTCCACGTATCTTCTAAGGAGCCCCAACAGCCATCCTCAGGAGGTACCAAGGGACCCTGTGCGTAAGGATTGTCATCCAAATTGGGCCCCAAGGCCATTCTTTTAATGGGTTGAACCCCGATATGTCATCCGATGTTTTCCGGAATTCACACAATTTGGAAACCATTGGGAACCATTGCCTCAATTGGGTCCCAAGGCCATTCTTGTCACCCATTGGCCAAGGAACCCTAGTTTTCCATGGGGTAGCTCGTAAACAACCCAAAAAGGGTGTGTGTCTCGTTTTTTGGGGACGCCCCCGATTTGTGTTTTTGGTGGTTTTCCTCGTGGTGTTCCTTGAAACTTTTTAAACCAACCCAAACAAAGCTAGCCTCACTAGGTCCTCCAGTGGAGAGCTTAGAATAAGGCTACCCAACCTTTTTTCTTTTCTCTAGGCTGCTTTAGTAGGGGAAGACCCAAACCCCCAAAAAAGAAGCGGGAGAGAAAGGGCAGCTAGCTGGGGAATCAGTGACCCCCTGTATTCAATCCCCCACAGGCCCCCCACTTGCTGCCTTCCTTAAGGATTCCTGCCACGTTCTCCCAGTAGGTGGCGTGCAAAAGGTATCTGGGCGCACGGATTTTCGGGGGGGACCTCTCGTATATTTCTTGGGGGTATGGAGGTGTCTTAGGGTTGATTTATGGATTTTGGGGTATGGAGGTCTTTTAGGGTTGCTTAAAGGTCGGTTTGGGGTGTTTCAGGTGCAGGGCCGGTTTGGGGTTGATTTAGGGTTGGCTTTCGGTTTGTTTAAGGTGGGGTTAAGCAACCACTAATCAAGGGCTTTTCTAACGATTGGTTTTGGAGTTTATTACGGAGGTTTCATATTACTTGCATAAGGGGGTTATACTGCCTAAGCTTATACTACTGGTACAATATAAGCATCCTCCAAAACCCATAGCTGAAAATGGCGCGCACCGATTCGCGGTGAAAGAACAACAAAGGAAAGCTTCAGGGGTGCTTCAATCGTACGCAGAACCTGCTTCTTGACCTCTGCAAATAGCACAGCTCGCGCCGGATATGCCTTCCTTGCCTTCGGGGGCATTCAACCCATCCTTCAAACGCTCGTTTGGGACCATCCCTGGGTATACACTTTTGCATGTAGATTGGAACACATCACTCAACTCGCGTGGTTCTCAACAGGGCATGAGGGAATGACTCCTATAAACCATGCCCTATGGTTTCTTTCGGATGGAATCCCCTTCCGGTTCATTGCCAAAACCCTGGGTCATTCCCAACGGATCGCACCAGCAAGTTAAGCAACACAATTTGCGGAAAGGTTGTCAAGCTGCCCCCTTGGGCTCAGTCGGGGTCGAAGTCAAAGGGTTCCTTGCTCTGACGCGACAAGAAGGATGGCCCATGCTAGCTTCCACTTTCTTTCCATGGATTCCCTCCAGAAAATGGGCCTTTTTTGCGGCCGGAGCCTCAACAAATGGGTGACAGGTTAGAATGAGGCCAGGATTGACAGGGGTCACTGGGTTTCCCCTTCAAAAGTTGCATTTCACCGGTAGGTTTCAACAAAATTGCCACCTTTGGATATCAAAGAGACATCGAGGGACCCCTGTTTGAAACTACCATTTCAGGAAAAGCCTCCAGGCCAGTATTTCGACCATCCGGGTCCTTTGCATTGCTCGTGTGCAATGAGATTGGGTTTGACTGGAGGCTGTTGGCTCCAACAGGCGGCATATGCATTGGAATACTATCCTGAAAGTCATTTGCTTGGCTGGAATTAGAACCCCCAGCCAAACACTCTATTTTTTGCTCGGCTAGTGGAAAACAAAGGGGACCCCACGGGCAAAAGAAGCACAACCCCGCGACCTGATGCCTATGGAAACTCAAAGTTACCGTGGCATTACAGATCACTCCCTCCTTTCACTACTGCCGCGCCTATAAGTCTTTTCTCTGCTCATTCAGTTGCCTTGCCATAAGAAAGTACAAGTAGAAGCACTGACTGAAGATCGCATCACAAAATCCTATCATAGCCAAACGGCTATAAAAAGAAATTATTAAATGTGTGGTTAGGTGCGGGAGTAACCCACAACCTCTATGCTGCGCTGTCCTCAGACCAACTGCTAAAAGCTTCACTGTTCGTGGGTGAAATTGGAAACCCAACCACTAAACCAACTAACAACTAAAAAATAGAGACTAAGGATTGAACTCGAAAGTTTCATCTCAACTGTGGGCCCGGCTGCGGCCGCATCTTCGGCGGAAGCTTGTTGGCCTCGTCTCATGGCTCGTCTTTTTCAGACCTATACAACTCACTTGCTGAGTGGATGGCCCAAAAAAAGTTCAAACTTTATATTTACCACAAAAATAGTCTTCCCCAAAAAAATAAAGTTCATGAACTCAGGAAGTGAGACAAGGGCGGTTTTCCTTTAGAAGGGGTGCTCACAGGGATGTAGTTGTACAGCTCCAAATCTTGCAAAACACGGTCAAAACAAGTTGTTTTTTTTCTGTTTTCCTTTTGGTGTAGCTTTGCAGCCACCAAACAAAGGGCTATCCCTCCAAAAATGACACAGTTCTGGCCTTTTGACCTGCCCTAGCGCACCGCAAGTCCGAACTCCAAAAGGGGCCCCAAATCGTCAAGGAATGGACTGTGGGGTTCCCGTGTTTCGCAGGGGTACCAACTCCGAAAATCACTTTCCCAACTCACTTCGCATTTACGTCGCAATCATATTTGAAATCAAGGGTTTCTCTTCAGCGCACGCCCGGTCAAAAGTGCCTGCCAAGCCACGTTGGTTATCGTTTTGCCCGTGAACCGCCATCCAAAAGTGGATGCCGGAAGTGTCCAGGATATGTCCAAATGAGTCATACTCAAAACCTGGTTTTGAAATGGTCTACCCAGAACCATGCAAAGAGTTGTCAAGGCGGCCGCACCAAATTATGGTTGGCATTGTCCCTTACTACCCTTCACTTACTCGGGTTGTGAGCAAGTGGCTCAAGTGTGGCCCTGCTCTATGTGCGCGACAATAGCAAAATCACACGATCCGATCCGCACATTCAACTTTCCATTTGCTGGTTCGCCCCCTGAAAAAGATACGCATATATTTCCAGTAGTGAAATCGATTCCCTTTAAAACCAAGGGAACTTAACAAAATTCTCAAGCAAATGGAAAGAAGAAACCGATCCGATCCCCACCCCCCCCGCACCCCCCCCCCACGCCTGCATCAAGGGGTCCTCTTTGGACTGGAAGAGGACATTGCCCCGGCCTGGCAACTGGACGAGCGTGAACTCTGAACTCGTTTGCGCCTCGCTGTGAAATGCCCTGGAGGAGAGGAGAGGAGAGGAGAGGAGAGGAGAAACAAACGTGGAGGACCTGACAAGTCTGGAGAAACTTGGAGAACCTTGAGGGAAACCAGGCAGTTGCCAGCGTGAAAACAATGGGTTACCATCCCACCGACTAACATGGGTTTGTGCACAGACCCCTGTAGAAAGACCGCTCTCCTCTTGGAGAGGAGGTTTGTGCACTTCCATGTTAGTTGGTGGGAGGGTAATATAGCCACCACTATTTACCCTTCTGGAGTTTCATCATCCAAATTGGGACCTCTTGGGCATTTTTAAAATGGGCATCGGCAAGGAACCTCAGAGAAAACAGTGCAACTCGTTGTTCCCGAAGAAACTCACTGCACTAAAACTGCGCCCGCGACTCAACTTCTTGGCAAGTTGGGGGATATACCATTACTACAAAGCCACTATATATATACATAAAATCTACCCCAAGTTTCCTCTGGGGGGTCGTGGCTGGGTGGAAACCATCGATTCAATACGGGGTTGATTCCTTGTCCATTCCTTTCAACCATCGTTCTTTCCAAACACCGGATCCGTTTTCCCTCAATTTCCGGAGGTTGTCTAGAAAGATTTGGATCCCTGGGTTCAGAATGGAAATGGAAGGTACCCCTAGAATCTTGGTACAGGTTCCAAGATTAAACTGACCCACCCACGTAGCATCCTGCGAGGGATCCCAAACAGTTGTGTGTCTGGCGGGGGACCTGGGCATGTCTCTAACGTTGGACCCCTTCAAAAAAATGGCGCAACGTTTGTTTTTTGTTGTTGGGGTGTGCTGCCTTTGGTGTTTTTATTTTGTATCGAACCAGCAAGAAAAAGAGCGGTAACTCCGAGAAAAAAGAAAACACATTTATAGGGGGCATTCCCTCATTGCCTGATGAGAACCAGCCCAAAAAAAATGTAACTCCGCAAATACGGCCCAAGAGCCACACGGAGCCGAAAGAAAACCTGAAGCCTGAGCTGATCCACGCCTGGGCCCTTGCGCTGGTCCACCACCTTCTGAAAGAACCACGGCCGGATCCTCGGAAGAGGTGGCAGGTGGCAGGGTGAGGCATTTGGGCTACCTTTTTTTTTTGGCCAACCAACAGGAGAACCAGCTTGGGTCCCTTAAACAAGATAAGCCATCCATTTGAGCAAACCCACAAGGTCACTAGTAGTTGCGCAACCCCCCGGGTATATAAGCCCCCGTTGCGGTTCCGGACACAAACAAACATTGAATATTACATGTGTTTACAACTTATGCATGTAATGTAAGTACTGTATTATTAGATTGATGAATATGCTTGATTGTTGAAGTTGTTGGCTTTGAGGCTGGCGATGTGCAATTCACAAGAAGATAGATGCCATAGACAAACTTACAGGGAATCTTGCGCGGGCAGGTCGAGATGTGCCAGCAAACATGCTCCTTAAATGCTAACTTTACATTCATTTGGAAGACCCTAATCAGAGGCTCTCCTATAGATCATTTCTGTACTGACCACTGACTATGGTCCTCCGGATTCATCGAAAGTCATGCTGCGAAGATTGCATCTGTTCGACGGTCAGGGGACAAAGCCCATGGCTCGCCAGTAGAACCTCTGAAGCATAGGAGGCAGTCACTTGCAACAGAAACATCCATTCTCATTGGCACTCAAAGTGGGGCTTTCCCAACAAAGAGCACCCTGCGTATCTTCGTTTCCCTTTAGCTCTACCATCACGGAAAGGAACATCGTCAGTAACAAATACAATATGGTCAGGGTAAACTAACTCGTGTCTTCAAGAGCATGGGAGCTTGGTTGTCCGGCTATGCAGAACGCAGGCCAGAACGCGAGAGATCAGAAAGTGGATGTGGATATGTCTCCACACAGGAAACTTAAGCGAATCTATAATGATAAACTCAGTTGCCTAAAGGACTCAGAAATCAAAGGTGATCCATCACCTTGTGCGGCCACCCAAAACAGCCAAGAAAAACCAGATCCGGACAGATTCAGTCCGTTCGCTGACGTAAAGTGCAATTCCCAACCTGGTTGGACCTACTGTGGATGGACGAAATCCCTTTTCAGAAACCCAGGTTTCTCGATGATTTTCCTGTTTATATCAACAAACGTTATGGTTTCAACCGTGATTTCTTTCCGTGGCGCGTCTGGATTTCGCTTTACCATCCACGGTCGGGGGCCGCCGGGCTTGGCTATCGCAGAAGCGGAGAAGCACGTAAGGCCGTCTCAGGGTTGAGTAGGTGATACTGTGGATGGACGAAGTCCTGCACCACTTTCAATCCATGAGAAACCATCGTTTGTTAGTATTTACAGGGGAGTCATCATTCCAGGCTTTCTCAGGTGGTGCGAAATGGATTTCGTCCATCCACAGTAGCTCCCCCCCGGCTAAGCTTGGAAGTCAGACGCACGTTCCCATGACTCTGGATTCCGTTTGGACAGGTCCCAGGTCAGTCTCTGATTGACAGCCAAAACCTACTTCGACAAATTCACCATACATCCAAAATGTGTGCGTGACTTTGTTTAGCCCCCCCAAAAAAAACAAAGCATGGCGCTTTCCTTTTGGTGTTCACCAACCCAAAAAGGGGTAGCCTCAAAAAAATGACAGCCCCAAATCTGAATTACGTGATGCAGGAACTGATCCCCAGAACCAAAACTAAAAACCCGCAGAACTGGCCGACAGGTCGGCATCCAATGGGTTCTTCTCGGCGTCATGGCCTATGGCTTTTGTGGATCCGAAACCAAGCGGCCACGGGCGAGCCCAATTTTGGCCCAATTTTCGGGGAAAGAACCCAAGGGAAACCAACCGCCTTCAGTTCGGCGCCCGCATGTTGTCTCAAAAGTCGGAATTCTCCATATCCGGCGGTTTCAACTTATGGATTTTCCCAGAACCACAACAAAATGTCGACCTGGATCGCCAGTTGCGATCGCTCTTTGTCCATGAACTTTGCCCCAAAAACCAGCAACAGTGACTGGAAAAAGCAACAGACCCGACGACACTCCTGAATTCCATGGATGAAACACCGCGGCTTGGGACTCGGACACCCTTCACATCGGCCCCGGAACCGGGTCCCATCGAGGCCCACACACGCCATCGATGCCCCTCGTCTTCCAGGTGCCTTCCTTGGCCTGAGAGATCAAGGCGATTTGGATGGCTCATCCTGTCGCTGGGCTGTCACTGCGGAAAGTTTAACTTGGGCTGTAGGGTTTTGGGGGGGAGGCTAGGGTGTTAGGGTGTAGGTTGTCTAGTTGGTTTAGGTTTAGGTTCTCTTCAGGGTTAGGTATTTTATTTTTGGGCTTGCTTTGCGTAGCCGAGGTTGGAAGTTGGGCAAATCACAGGGATTGGCCGGATTTCCATGGGGGTGTCACCCACAAAACAGCACGGAGGGCACCCCTATGAGGCAAGCAAGAGCTTCCCAGCTACCGCTTCGGTAGGGCCCCGCACATCGTAGTCGAACTCCATGTTTTCACTCCGTGCCTCGCGAGAAAACACGGGATTGGACGGAGCCAACTTGAGCTGATTGCTGGTTAATACCAAAAAAACAAGTGCGTGCCAGAAGGTGGCAAAAGATCCAAACGCGTGGCAGCCAAGAAATGTAATGGGTTTACATTCAGCTCCTGGCTGTCCTTTGGCTGTTTGCTGAAACCGTTGCAACCTCAAAAAGTCTCCAGCACATCCGGCCCAAAAGGTCTATGAAACGGCGAAAACCCGAATCACCAGAAGGTCTTGCCCCCAGCTGGGTGAAACAAATCTGACCCTCGGGAGGCCCAAAGGGCTTTGGAGAAACACAGCATTTCCGGCACCACCAACAACTGGCTGTGGTTGGTAAAATAGGGTAACCCCGTAAATGGAAAGGACTGAAACCTGCGGCCCAATTGGCCCAATTCCCGGTGGTTTAATTCTGACCCATACCCAATTGCTTCTTGGACAGTACTTGGAGTGGAGATTTTGCAGTCCTTGAGTGCTGTTTTGATCCCGAGCCATTCGATTCCCTAAAGTGCCAAAGCCCAAAGCCTGGTATTTAGGATTCAAAGGCATGGCCCACAAAAGCCCCATCTCCAGCCCCAACTAACCATTTCTCCGCTCTCTGAAAAGGAGTGTGCCCTGCCTGGGGTTCAACCCAATTAACAGAATTGCAATGACCCAATTTCAATGATGAACATTCTTAGGCTTCCATTTGCTTAAGCCCCCAAAAAAACATATAACAATATGTCCAGCAGTGAAATCGACTACCTTTGAAACCAGAGAAACATACAACATATTCTTCTTAAGCTTAAACGAAAATAGGTAAACCAAAGGCTCGGTGTATGTCAACCCCTTTCTTTTCACGGTAAGGTCCTGCACCTGAGGTTCAGGGCCCGAGGCCCGAGTGCTCGAGAGCTGGGCCTTCTCCTCGTCGATGAAGATGAGAATCTCCGGAGCCTCTTTCAGTCCAGGGACCTCAGAGCGCCCAACTTAAACCGTCGACATTGTTGGCTGGGGGTGCAGGGGGGGAGACTTCGCAGGCCGGGGGCCGGGAGGGGGGGAAAGGGTTGGGATCGGATGGAGAAAGGAGGCTGCGGCCGGGGGGGGGGGATGTTGGGACCGGAGGAAAAACGAAGACAAGAAGAAAAACAAAACTCAACAAAACGCGGCCGGAGGAAAAAAACATGTACAATAAAAAAAGAGAGAAAAGACAAGAAAAGACGGCGGAGCCCCCCCTTTAAAAAAAATCCGGAGTCCCAAAAACACCACCGCAACTTCTCTCAACCAGAGGGTGTCATCGGGGCTCGGAGCTTGTTTCAGTGGGCCCCTTGCCCTGCCAAACACGGAAGCGCACACACGCCACCAATTGCTGGGTGCCGAAAAAGGACACGGCTGACCCTAGGGTTCCAATTGACCGACAAACAACAACAAAAAACAAGGGAGAAAAAACAAACAAAAACAAAAACGATAATTTGTGGAAACGCCAAGAGCTGAGCTTGTCTCAAAATGGAGGAACCCCCAGAATTTCGTGGCTTTCCATGAATTGTCCTGTGAACAAACCTCGTTTAATTATGAGTTGCTGCCCAAAAAAAGAAGACAGACACGGACAGAAACGCAAAAACATAGACACAAACACACAGAGAGACACAGAAACCGACCAAAAACACAAAAACAGAAAACGACTGATCTCCACACGCCGCACTGATCTCTTCTCGGCGCCGGGCCCGGCCATCCGGCCTCACCTCGTCGATCATGAAGATCTCGCTCTTGGCAGCCTTCAGCCCTGGCGCTCCCATGGCGCTCGCTCGCTCCCCGGCGGCTCACGCTGGCGCACGCGCTCACGCGCGGCTTGCGCTCGATTCCGCGCACCGAAAAATGCGCGAGCGCCTGCCCCAGGCGTTGTCTTTCTTTGCCGGCAGGAAACGACACAAAGAACAAAACCCAGGAGTGAGTTGGCCGCAGTTGCTTTCGTTTCCTTTCCAAATCCTTCGAACCTCTTGCCGGACACCTTCCTCTTTCACTCTCAGAAATGGAACAAACTGCATTGATCAGTCAAGCTCTGTGCCAGCCGACATTGACAGCTGGGTGTCCTTGTTGAGCTTGTGGTTGGCTTCGTAGAATCAAAGGACAGCAACATGTTGGTTGGGGGAGCCAAATGTTTGGAGACAAACACATTCTAGATCGGTTTGCAATCTGCTACAGAAATAGAGAAGTTCCTTGCCTGCTAAAGCCGTTGCACATGCTTGACTTGGTGTCCATTTCGGCGCAAAACATTCGCTGGCCGATCAATGCAATATGACTCGAGGAACAACAACAGCATGCTCAATGTTCAAGCAGTAAAAACATGGTCTCTTCATTCTTCATGCGGCGAAAAGGTGTGAACTTGCCTGGATTGCAGGTTGGGCCTGTCCCCTGCCCTTAATTAACCAATCAAGGAATCAGCCCGCGGGACTTTCGTCACCAATTGGCAAGTAGCTTATCACCATAACTCGATGACTGCCAATCCCAGTTTTCAAATTGACAACCATGGTTTTTGGTTGTGACCTAGTTACCTTATGGTTGAGCACCCAAGTAAACGCGGTTGCCCCGATCTGTCGCTCGTGACTCGCAGGCCTTGCTCCATGATGGGCGCAAAGTTACGAAACTTCGTGCCGTGCACAAAGGCGCCGCTGTTTCTGTAGCGTGGCCTGCAAAGCACCCCGATGCGAAGCTCTGCAGCAGATGTCCACCTTCTCTCTCTTTGCACCAGTGCGACTGGAATGCTGCGCATGAGTTGAAGACCTAGTCGTACAACCAACATATTTATTTATTTAGTGAATCCACGTGCGTATTGACTACGTGGGGCCGACCTATCCCTGTGGCTTTCATTGGACAGAGAAAAACGTGGGAACGCCTTTGGCTAAATGCAGTGGCACAGGTGCAGTACACCAAGTACACCAGTGTAAAAGTAGATAGCAATCCCTTCACAAGTAAAAACCATGCCACCATTGGAATTGTGCCACCGAACTTCACCCGGGGGCGCTACAAATGACCGCGGATTCAAAAACTGGTTGACTCACTTCCGATCGAGTGGGTTGGCTAAAACAAGTCCGAACTTGTGCAAGACTAAAATGGTCCAAACCCAAAAAGTAAGTCCAACAACCCAGGAACTGAGTATTTATGTTTGGGAGTGCCCCTTCCCTTCACTTACCCAAGTTTTGATTGTGGCCATGGTTTCCTTGTTCGCGAGTCCCTCGAAAACCACTCCCAACTGCTTAGGAAGTTTAAGTGAGTATTCCTCCTTTGGCTTGGACATCACTTGGGAGTTTCCTCTGCGACAAACAAAGGGGTAGGTGAGTAAGCCTGGTTATAAGTCCCCGTTCAGTTTTATTTGTTTCACTCGCCACTTACCTGACGTACCGAATCAATCGCTCTTTACGTGGGGACCCCTAAAGCATGTTCAACCCCCCCAGCCAAACCAAACCCAGACTCAAATGGTCCAAAGATAAAAGGGTCCAAGTACCTTCTAAGCAGGTACTTAGACGCCTTTTTATCCCCCCAAAACCATCCATTTTCAGGAGGTACCAAGGAACCCGCTGGGTAGGGACCCCCCAAAACGCATGTTGATCCAGCTCGTTTCGTCGGGCGCCCCGCGGCGCGGTGAAGGCCGAGAGCTGTCTGGACTCGGAGAAACTTTCGCGGAGTCGGAGTCGCGGAGTCGCATGTCTCAAAGCCATGCTGGTTGGAAGCGGTGGAATTGGACTCGGACCGCAGGTTTTGGTACCCATCTTCCCATTTACCAAAACCCAAAACGGGGTGACCCCATTTTGACCACCACAGCCAAAGAAAAGAGGTTTGAAGGGCCATCATTTGGGTGTGGCTCCAAATGAAACGATCGGAGGGGCTGGCTCCGCAGGTGTTGGTACCCATGTTTCCACTTACCAGGGCAACCCACTTTTGGAATTCCGGTTTTCTGAGCCACAGCCATGTGTGCTTGTTGGAAGCGGTGGCGTGAAATATGCCTCAATGTGAAACCAACCCTGTACAAATTTCAGAAGGGGCCTGAAGGAGCAGGAATACTGCTGGTTGCCTACCAACTGAGTAACTGGGATCCGGAATGTATTAGATGTCTATTAAATGAATGTAGTTATTTTCATGCAAATGTAGGTGTATTGAATGCATGCATGTGGCGCAACGGCGATTGCTGCGGAGGTGCCACTTTTTGCGGGAAATAATCAACTAAAGTTGGAAGAAATGCGCTGAACAAGGAACCGAGTGAGATTTGGCCATGGGTCAAAAACCCGAACCCCAGTCCAGTGAACATCCCAATCCCCACTAAACTAAAATGAGTGGTGCACCCACACCCCTACCCCTACCCCTACCTCCTACCCCCTATCCCTACCCAAAATGGTACCACAACGGTTTTGACCCACAGCCCAAATGGAGAGAAACGACATGCCGACAGTCGGCACCTTGGTGCCTAGGCTCCCAGCAGAGAACTGCGAGATGCTGCCCTTGGTGTCGCTGTAGACCTCAAGCGGGGATGGCGGCAAGCTCCGAGAAAGCTCCGGAAGTTTGTTGCGGGGCGTACCCCCCGAAACCGGCAAACCCCCTCCCCCCGAAACCAGCGAAATTAATAATTTCTACAGGAAGTTCGGCAGGGCACTTAGGAAGTGGTTGCTAAGCCTGGTTGTAACCCACTTACCATGGTTATAAGTCGCTTGAGTGGTTTAAACCACAACCAGGCTTACTAACCACTTATTAAGTACCCTGCTCCTTTAAGTACCCGCCCCAGAAACCAGCACAACACCCGTAAAAATTATACGGGGGAAGTTCTTGCCAAATGCCCAGCAGGTGCCCAGGATTCGTGTCGACTCCAAAAGTTTGATTTGAGACCTTGGAGAAAAGGCTGGCTCACCGGTTGATTAAGTATTGGTTTTGAATTGGCCTATTCTAAAAGTAGTATTGGGACCCGGTCTGGGAAAATAGTATTTATTAACAGGGTCCTTTTATTAAAGGGGGAAGAGATTAATAGGATTCAAACCTCCACCCCCCCCCCCCCGGTTCGGTTGCTCAAAGGCTGGGTTTCCTCCAAAGGCAAAGGCAAAGGCCGGAAGGAGTCGGGAGGTTGGATTCAAACACCCGCAACCAAAAAGTCAGGGCTTTTCCACGGAACATTGCCCCAAATGAGTGACTCAGATTTCTGAGCCTGAGAAAATATGAAACTGGGTAGGTGAAACTGGATAGGGAAAACGCAAAAAGAAAACACCAAAGCTGCGATTCGATGGGATGAGATCGATTTAAGCGTGGTTCCTCTTACAGAAGCTGTGACAAACAGTGTCAGCTGAAGACAGTTAACCGCATGTGAGCCACGGTCAAAATTACGTGCGTTCCCAAGAGCACATGGGAACATGAGCGAGTCCCTTATAAGTGTTTTGGGAAATTGAGCGAGTCTTGGCATCTCCCTCCCAAAGGAACCACAGACTACCAGTCATTTTGCCCCAACCTCATCTGTCCCAAGAAATTAGGGTGGTCCGCCATGTCCTCCCAAGCTATCAACAGACTACCTGAAATTTGTGGATGAAATAGAGATGACAACATCCTCAGCCCCTTGTTCTCCAGCTTTTGGCTGACCAAGCGATACCAGCCTATGCTTGCCACAGGCAAGGCCAAACCATTCCTCACTTCCTGAGATGGCCCAAACCAGATCGAAACAAGGGACCTCAGGGAGGAAGATCCTAGGAATCGGTTTGCACTGCCACGTGGCATCTACACCCGAACTTGACAAACTGGTTAGATGAACATACAACTGGTTTCTTGGTCCACACCATACAACATACAACTGGTAACATACAACTTGATCCACACCCCGAAGATGAACATACAACTGGTTGGCCTCTTGACACAGAGACTCGGTGGCTTCTCATTGGGCGCCTTCTTTGGCTCAGTCGTATTTTTTTCTGTAGTTTATTTTAGTAGGGAATCGAATCTCCCAATCAAACAAGTTGGCCAAAGGGCATCTGGTTGGGGGACCTAGTTGTTGGTATCCTTTGGGGGTGGTTTCAAAGGGGAATAAAATCATAGACACACAGAGTGACGTTGGGGTTTGGTTTTGGGCGCCAGCCTCAAAAACAAAATGGCGCCTACTTCTTTCTGCCACTCAGGCCCTGGCACTACCTATGAAGCTGCTGGCCCCAACTGCCTCGGTGCAAGGCCGGAGCGCTCTCCGGGGTTGTGTACGAGCAAACTAACTTAGATGCAGTACTTCATGTGTTTGACAAACATGCGTGTCCACATAAATGTATATACCTATACATATTATGTTGCCTTTCTGTCGTACTTGTTGCGGGCACCATCATATTCCAGAGAGGGCAACAAAGGCGTCGACATATGGATCACCCACTGAACAAAAAAAAGGCTTGCTTCCCAGGAGGCGGGCAGCTTTGTGAGTCGACGCCCTTCCACCGAATGGACCATAGTCATTCTGACCGAAGCTCACAAGCAGCCCGGAAAACCCTCCGAAATGAACTTCTCGCGTTTGGTGCTTTTTGAAACCTCGGAAATCGACACACAAAAAAAAAGAAAAACGCCGCCTTTCTTCCGGCGGCTTGGAGCTGGCCCCATACAACCACTATGTAGCCACTTTCTAAAGGGTATATATCTAGGGGTTGATTCCTTGTCCATTTTTTCCAACCATCGTTGTTTCCCAAAACCGGATCCGTTTTCAACCTGGGTTTCAGGAGGTTTTCTAGAAAGATTTGGATCCCTGGAAAGAATGGGAAGGTACCCCTAGAATATACCCCAATTTCTCCCTGAAATAGTGGTTGGAGGGGGGAGGAGTGTTGGCGGGGGGGGGGGGTCATCCAGTCGAATGGACCGTACGGCTGGGAGCCGAGCTTTCAAACGATGCTGTCACAAGGAGCACTTCTCAAACGCAAAAAATTGGGGTGTCGTGTCTTGAGGGTACCCTTTGTTTTTGTGGTTTTCAAAGGAGACCCAACTGGAAAACCATCATTTTAGCGCATAGAACAAAGCCACAACTCAAGGAGCATCTGTTAAGTCCCGCGCGGTCGACATTGCGGAACAAGCCTGAAACCATTTCACAGGTACCTCAGGACGGTATCCCTACCCTCTGGAAATCATGAAGCCCCCCCTCTACAGAAAAGCTGGGGCCGGCATAAGGAAACCTAAATAAACCCAATAGTCTTGCTGGTGCGATAAGTAGGGAATGAATTGGAATGAAGCTCTAAGGATTCCCGAATAAACGAAACCATCCGGGATGAAATATTTTTTCTCAGGGTTCCGTTTCACATTCCCTACTTCTCGCACCAAGCAGTCCAGTTCCTGACCCAAAAGGGCCGAGCTCTGGGCTGAAGCCACGTCGCTGACATTGCTGATGTCATCGATATCCTGTGCCATGCGCCCTGGAACCTCCCTTTTGTGGCCGTAGTCGTGGTTCCCTTGTACGAACCCTTCCAAAGCTTGCCTAAAACCCAAGTACAGGTTTCATCATCTGCGAAGTAAAAAGGTGCTCATAGCACAGATGAGATGTGAGAAAGTAGGGGCCTGCAAAGCGTCTGTGGAAACTCGTGAAATAAAAGGGGTTCGACGCTTCGACGCGTCCATATATCTCCAGCGTTGTGTTCATTGCGCGGTCTGAGAATTCCCGGCCAAGCTGGACGGCAGCAACCAGGAATTCCGGACGCATTTTGCCGAGGAACTCCGTGTCATCTCCGGCGCAACGAATCTTGGGCGGGTCCCACAAAAAACGGAAAGCCGGCAAGACACAACTTTCTATTGGAACCAAAAAGCCCACACTCCAAAGAAAGGGCTGGAGACTCTCCAAATTCACTTGGAAACCGTCCCAGAATCCTTGCCAGATCCGATATCTACTCAACTTTCCTCTAATTGTTGGTTTGAATTCGTGGTTTAGTGGTCAAGGGGGAGTTTCCCATTTACCGCGTACAAGAACCAGGCACCCGTTCAACTCCGATTCCAAGCCACCAATCCAAACCAACCTGGCGGGTTACCATTCCCAAAGGAAACCGAACTTGGCCCCAGAAGGTGATGTTTCAAACCACCAGGGGAGGTATAGGGAACAAAGTCCAGGAATGCACACCCGGCTCCCAGCATCCAGGTGTCACAGTGTATCAGCTCGCATCACCCCACCCGCGCACCCGCGCACCCGTGCACCCGCGCACCCGAACCCCCGCCTCTGCTAGCGGCGGCAGGGTCTGGGCACAGCGAAGGATTGGCCAAAGAAAAGCGTCCAGCGCACACGAGTTCACGTGGCTGCCGTCAAAAGGCTGGGAACCTCAAAATGGGCTGGTTTTGAAGGGAAACATGGACTTAAAACCTGCGGTCTGAATGGACACATGGAAAACAAAGCCTGCGGTCTGGTTTAGTTTTGACCCACAGCCTCTCCGGATCCAGACAAAAGGAACGTTGGGGAACTTTAGAGATCGGAACCTCCCGCAGTGGATCGATGCCCAAAGGGCGACTGCACCTCTGTACAGCAAATCTCATCCTGTGGCGCGGTGTCTTTATTTTAGGGGAGCCCCGAAAAAGGTGTGCCTCTTGGTTTCCTTTTAAGCCAATCCCAAAAAGGGTATTTTGAACAAACACAGATGTGGCGAGTCACACTTGTGAAGCCAAAATCAATTCCCATCCCCGCGACTAGTTGCTTCTGACGTTGAAGGGGCTGCCCAGGAAGGTTCGTACATCCCCCATTTGAATACCACCTGGGAAACTGATTGAGCCTTTTAAACGCATTCAACATCTGGAAATCCAAATGAAATTGTGAGCATATCCTTGTGTCAAGAACCTGGTGGCATTTGAGGGTGTGGACCATTGATGACGCCTTAAGGGCTATTGAGGACAGCCAGTCGCCGAATGCAACTAGGGCGTCTCACTACCATTCTTCTGTATATCTGAAAGGCCAGTCAGTGTGCGAGTTCAGGATGGCACTGTTGGGGTGCTTTCTCAGAATGAAGGCCGACGGTGCCAGGATGCTTCTGAAGTTTCAGCAGCAGAAGCATGTTGTGCAATGCAAAGCCGCTGCTGTTCCCCCTTAGGATCCGTCCAAGGAATATTTTCCCCAAAGAGCGAGTGAAGAGAAACCGGGATCAAGGCTTGCAGTGTGGTTGCGGGCGACGCGCAGCATTAACAAAACCAAAACAACTGACCAAAAAAAAATCGGACCCATGGTTCAGGGGTGAGACATGTTTGACCCTGCTGAATCGATGGTCTGTTGCCTTCCGGAAAAGGGAAACGCAATGGTCTCAAGCATCCTTGTCTTCCATTCGCTTAAGCCCCGTGGAGGAAAAAAAACATACATATTTCGAGTAGTGATCGATTCTTTCAACACCAACAGGGGAAAATAATAATAATTAATAATAACAAAACCAAACTTAAGCAAATGGAAGTTGATCGTTTCTGTTGAAAGATCTGTTGGTTGATTCGTTACAACTCCAGGGCTTGCATTGTTACAACTTATCTGGCCCCATGATCTTACCATCAAAGTCACCCCCCGCCCCAAATACATTTTCTGACTTTGATACCCCGCAGCCCATCAAAATCATGAGCCCTGGCTGGTGTCCATCTACTTGGACCAGGCAAAACACCGGGGACTTGCGGGGCGACCGCTTCGCGCTTCGGCTCGCGAAGCAACCGCTTCTTCACGCCTGGAAGTGCGAGAGGTGCGGACTGGACACATGCATGTCGGAGTGGAGCGAGCCTCGAGCTTGCAAGTTCTGAGAAACAAAAACGAGACAACACCCGGTGAAACTGTCCATGGGGGCGGCTGGGGGAGGGGAAGGGATTTATTGCTGTGGGCTCCCTCCCCCTCCCCTCCCTCCCCCCCAGCCAGGGGTCTTTTTGCCACCTTTTGTGAGAAAATTGGCGACCCCCTCAAAAAGGCAATCCTTCACTACGGAACCATTTTCCACAAAAGGCACAAAGACCTGCCCCCAGCCCCCATGAACCGCGGATTCTTGTGAAATCCATGCCGCACCACCTTTCAGAAACCCTGGAATGGTTCGATTCCCCGGCAAAAACAAAAAAAAACAACAACCAAGTGGCTTCCCGTGGCTTCAAATTGCCGCAGTTGGTCCATCCACAGAATGCTGCACTGAGAAAAAGTTACGGCTGGAGGTGTCCCTTTACCCTCCAATTTTGAGGGGCTTTGAGCGTGACTCAGTCCCTCCAAACCTTTTTGGCGGTTTATAATGTGAACCTCGGAGTAATCCGGTGGTTCTCCTTTAGTAGATGACCTATTCTAATGGGTCCATCTGATTAGTAAGGCCTTCCGGATTGACTTCTGAGGTTGACATTACTAAGCTAAGCAAGACAAGAAACCACCCATTTCGGAAAAGCTTATCCTTCAGCTACGCACTGAAATCAGTCTCATGACTTCTCTCTATCTCTCGCTCTCGCTCGCTCGCTCGCTCTCTCTCTCTCTCTCTCTGTCTCTCTCGCTCCCCCTTTCGCGACCCGCCCTCCACCCTACAAAATTAGCTATAGGCAAATCTGCGTCAACGCCACCCTCCTGCGCCCTCTGCCCGTTGTTTTCCAGGGTATCATGTCAACCCTCCACAACAAAAACATGTACAATGGAAACCCTGGTTGGTCAAAAACTGAACCAACACTATGCCACGAAGAATCCGGGCCGAAGACTTTCGCCTCTGTGTCCACTGGCGGGAGCCCTCAAGCTTCGGGCCAGGTGTCTGTCTCGGGCAATTGCCGGACAGAATGATCCCTGACAAGAATCAGTTTTGTTCTTTAATGTACCACCCACAATGTACTAACACCCGTCACCCTACACGGTGCAGGCTGAAGGGAAACCACCCCGGTTTCTGATGCTGATCACCAACTGTCAACTAGTGCGAGCTCGCCTGGGGGTATAACGAGCTCGCCACGATACAGGTCCTTTACTTGGGGATCGATCCCTGAATTCAGCTTTTGGCCTTCTAGCAAAATTTGCAGAAGAACATATAAAGTACAGTCTCTTCCCTGCAAATTCACGTGGAACCCAAAAGCGGGGTTCACAAAACAAGAGCCCTGCATGTTGATGTGGGGAGCAGAAGCTTGGAATTGGACAAAAGGTATGAAAATGGGGAGGCGACCATCCCAAAAGCACGCCAACATGTGGAAATTGCGAGAACTGGCGGACCTTTTGAAAATCCGAAAGGGAGAACCAACATGAAACCGACCACAATGCATGCAAGAAATATCAAGCTCAAGGCTGGCTCATCTTAGCCAGGGCTTGAAGGACCTATCCCAAAACCCCAGGACCTTTACAAGGTGCTGTAAAACAGCTGGTTTACATGGTCCTGCAAACCCGCCAATAGATGTTCGTTTTTCAGGGCAGAAAATGCCTGTGAGGGAACCTACACGCTGCGAAGTACCTTATTCCCGGGCCACGCCGCGGCAACCGCGAGGCCGCGAGGCCGCGCCTCGCACGATGCCCAAGTTGCAGCTCGCTTGAGAGCCGGGAACTGCGATGCCGCCACTTTGGGGGACGGCACGCGGTGGTGGTTGTAGTGGAAAATGCATCGGTTCCGGCGACTCTTGTCCTTTTTGTTGGGGAATTTCCCCAGGTATCACGGAAAGTCGCCCGGAAAAAAACCCTGTGTCCCGCAATCAAGGTGTGGAGTGCCATTCTGGTACAGGATGTCCCGTAGGATCACGGAAAGTGGACCCAAAATGTGGTTGTTTCATCTACTTGGATGTTGCACCCACGTCGGGTTGGCTTTAGCCATGGAAAGAGCCTACCTACCTGACGTGGCTGGAACATGGGATTCCACAGCCAAAAGTGAAGCCTTGATTCACAATATACATACATATATGCCCAGTACTATACACCATCTATACCCCCTCCCACCCAACATGGCACCAAGCCTAGCATCATTTTGTGCTCGGATGTCCAACTTTTTCGCTTGCCAGAGGTCACCAGGGCCACCAAGCTTTGTCCCATAGCCATGGCCATCAAGGGCGGGGGGGTCCCCAAGAAGCGCATCAAGCTGTAAAGAACTCAGTGGACGACGGCCGTCCTTAAGTTCCCTTTTAGACAAGGTCCATCTCCAAATCAGTCCTCAAACGGTTCTTTGGGGTATATACCCTTTACCCTTCCCACCATGGCACCTTTGGGAAGGTGCCTGCAAGATCTCCATCTCCTCTTGAAAGGGACCGGTCCCAAAGGGCAAACCTTTCATATTCCCAAAACGGGCACCCTCAACAAGCAAAACAAACAAAAACAAAAACATGTCGCACTCCTCCGCAAAAAAAAAAAAAAAACAAAAAAAAAAAAAACGCCGCCGCACTGGTCGATGCTTTGCCACGCGCGCGATGCACTTGCGTCTCGGTCTCTGCCGCCCAGAGATTTCAGGGCGGATAGGAAGTGATCGCGGACATGGACACTCCCCGAGCAAAGTTCGAGTGAGTTGTGTGCCTTTTACGCCACTGTGTGATTTTTGAGGGCATCTCCTTTTTTTTTCGTGGTTTTGAAAGGAAACAAAAAGCCACCCACGTTTTTGGGGGGTGCCCTATTTTGACTCATGCCCATACGACTTCCGGAGAAGAACTTCTTCCACAAGAACTTGGGTGGGCCATCTAGTTTTTGCCTCCATGTTTGCTTGTCCCCCCCATGTGTTTTCTGTCCTCCCCAAAAGCCAGAGCAAAAATCATGACCGGTATCATGGGTTCATCATTCATGGCACAAACAAATCGGAAACTAGTGCAGCGCAGGGGCTTGCTTGGAGCTTCATATTCTAAGGCGGGTACTGTTGACAGGGACATATGGGCGTTTCGCCAAAAACAATGAGGTGGATGGTTTCCTTTTCGTTTCCTCTTACCATCCCAAAAGGGGGCCCTCTATCTTGAGAAATGCGTATATGGTTGGCCTTCGGTCTTCATTCAAGGGCCAGTTCCCCTCGTACATTCCGAGAAATTGTAGGTTTGCTCTTGTTCATACATCCTCGCCCCAAAAATTCCGGTACATGCCCATAGCATAAGTGGGTTAGTCAAAACATGTGGCCGAAAGTTCTCGCTTGGGTGGCCATGGTTTCGTTCGTGGCTAAGAGGAGTGATCCATCGCCCGCTCTGAATTCCTTTCGGTCCGCATTCTGGATCCTGGCGAGCGTTCTCGGTCGGCTGGAAGCCGGAGGTCTGTCGCTTTTTTGGGATACCCGTTTTAGGTTGGCTTAACGGGAAACCAAAAGGACACGCCTCACATTTTGGCTGGGTTTTCCCGAGCAGACCAACCAAAAACAACTGAAACAACCAAAACCAGCATATGAAGTGGGTGGAAGGACACAGGCAGCTTCGTACTTTTTGGCCCCATGGGAGAAAGCCAAAGCTTCTCACCCCGGACCAGGACCTGGACTGGAAAAAGGGACTGCCACGGTACTGCCACGGTGTGCCAAAAACACAACCCAAGCCTAGAAAACCGGACACACACACACACACATACTTCGTTCTCTTTTCTTTCTTTTCTGCTTCTGGCGCGCGCTCTCTCTCTCTCTCTCTCTCTCTCTCTCTCTCTCTCCCGCCGAAAGTCTCGATGCTTTCAGCAATCAACTTTTTTGAGATGGACAAATAGGTCTGTCAAAGGGAGGTTCGAGTGTCTTTGGGCGGGTGGAAACCTTTGCAGCCTCCACGGCAAATCGCAGTTGTCACACACACACACACCTGACGTAGGAACTCCCCAGGAAAGAGAACTGGTCGAACACCGAAATGCCTTGTATGGTCCGACGCCCTTGCGCATATCCCAGCCGCAAGTTTGACGATGCCACTCCTTTTGCGGACCTTTTGCGCGCTGTCCCCTGGAGCAACTCCAAAACCTGAAGCAAATGACTTTAAGGGACTCCAGTTCAGGTCAGTCTTTCGGCGTTTCTTGATTTGTTTGCTTCCTGATTGGCCGTATTTTCTACCAGCGTTTCCTTCAGTCATATCCTTTCCTTCGCGCGGTTCCCCTTGCAGTGGGAGGGCGACTTTGGAAATTATTTGCGTGTCTGAAAATAGGAGTCGGACCTCTTCTTGGGAACCAAGAGGAAATCACCGACCTGGAGGAATCGGTCCCAATTTTGAGAAACACCCATTTGCTGTTACTGTACGGCCAAAAAAGCTCTGCGCTCTGGAGGCCCAACCCGTCAGCCTGAGCAATTTCCAATTTCCAAGGCTAGCTTGAAGGTCCACTGGGTTCCTGATATGCCCTCTTTCAGCTTTCAAAGGCATCCATCCAAACTTGCAACACCAAGGCAGGGACTCTTCTTTTGTGGGCCAAAGTCAGGCGAATCTCCAAAGGTGTGGTTTTCCTTTGCCTTTCCAGTTCAACCCACTCAAAAGTTCACGTAGCCCAAACGGCAAGCGCCACACATATTTTGTTTTTGCTTGTTGAGGAAGACACCCCGTGCTCAGAGCTCCTTTGTTACCCTCTTTCCAACAATCATGGAAGTGCACAAAGGGGTTCCCCAAAAGGAAAATAGTCTTCCAAAGCTCCCCTGTCAACTTCCATGATTGTTGGAGGGAGGGTAGTTTTCCCTTATTCGCCTCATCCTGTATCGGCCCCGGCCATGTAGGCGTGAGTCGCAGGTGAACCAAATGCTCACTGACAGAGCTATGTGCATGACAGGGTGCCAAACTGCAGCACACAGCTGGTGAGCCAACTGTTCGGTACGGATAAGCGCAGACAAACAGAATTGACCGCAGCCATCAAGCAAAAGCGCCGTGCCAGCTGCATTCCCTATGGAACAAGGCGCTCATCATCAGCCTAGACACCACATTGCGAGATCCTCATGCAGCGCAGCTGATACACCGACACACGCAAGACATACGATACCTGGGGTCGACAAAACCAGGGGCCTCGCTCGCAGTGTTGAGCAAAGCTTCTCCAGAAGGGCCAGCCGACAAACCGCAATGGCTCGCCAAGGAACATTTCGTGGTGGATGCCTACCACTGACAAAATATTGATGGTTCCAAAGAGGGTTAAACTTCAATATCATTGCACAGACTATGCCAGCGATCACCTTGGCAAGGGGCAAGACGTTCGCGTTGCGTGAAGGGCGCGAGGGCCTGACGCCTCTTTGCCAGACATGGCATCGCACGTGTGTGCAGCGCGCTGGCCCGTCATTTTGATGATCACAAATGGTCGCTCCGGCTGATCCACCTCCACGTACACCCTGCCATGTCCGACGTGAGCCAATGTCGCTGGGTTGCGCCACGTGGCTGTTCAAAACTCCTTATGGCCTGTGGTCATGGTGCCCGAAATAGGCATCATTCATGGTTAAGGACCCTTCCTACCAGGTTGATGACCATTTTTGTTGACTTCAAGTGAAGGAACCGGTCTATCGACCGTGGCTCATAGGACAGCTCAGCGGAATTTCCGAGGTCCTCCAGAGTTGAGAGGTTAGAATATGGGGACCCGATCTTTTTTCTGTAGTCTGTTTTAGTAGGGAAACGCTCCCCCAAAAAAAGAAACGGGTGAGAAAGGTTGCACCTGGCTGGGGGACCTAGCCCTATTGACAGTTCCTGTAGTCTATTTTATTAGGGGAACCCTCCCCAAAAAAGTTGGTCAAAGGGCAGTTCTGGGGGACCGAGTTTCTCTTCCGTCGGATCAGGGCCTCAAGTGGCTTTCTCGAAGTCTTGGCTCCAGGACTTCATCTTCTCAGCCACCTGACCCCCCCCCCCCCCGCCCCCCAACCACCACACGGTGGATGGACGAAATTTCTTGTGCGCCTGAGAAAACCCTTGGTTTCTGAGGATTCTCCTGGAAGCACCAACAAGTTCATGGTGTCTTGGGCGGTGCGAAATGGATTTCGTCCATCCACAGTAGGGTTGATGTCATTCTTCTTCGGCCAGCAATGCACCTTCCCTTGATCTGCCAGAAAGGCGTGGGCCCCCCAAATGGATGTAGATGGTTTCACCAAAAGGGGGCCAAATGCGGCTGTGTTTTTTTGAGGGTGCCCTTGCCGCTTGGTCGAAAGGGAAACCAAAGGAAAACCACACCAAAATTGAGAGTCCCCCTATTCTGACACATAAGCAAGTGTCAAACAGAGGGTCTGGAAAACAAACGCCTCCTTTTGGTCCTTTGAAGTGAAATGAAACAAATGGACGCTACTTGTGTGGATCTTAAGTACAGCGTCTGGTTTGTGATGCTTTCACTTGCAAAAGAAGACCAATCTCTGTTTGGTGTCCTTTTTGCGAACCAATCAAGCGTCTTTGGGTTTCGTTATTCCTTGTGACATGCGAACAAAGAACAAAGCATATGACCCATCCCCATTTGGTTGGAAGACAGAAATGCCATCCCTTTTCCTCGGCATTAAATACAAGATCAAATCCCTGTCGGCTTCCTTTGGTGGACTGACTTTTGTTTGTTGATATGATTGCATTGCTAGTTAGCACCGGCCTGCTTTTGTTCAAGGAACCAACCCTGTTGCAGTAATGATCAGTTTGTTGACGTCTGGTCAACAAACAAAGGTTGCCATGGTCCAAAGACACAGGGCATCAGAAAACCGCTTTGGGAAGCGAACCGAAAGGCGTCTGACTGCCGGTTTTTTTCCACATCCTTGCTGCCAAAAAACGGTACTCCAAGTTGGGGCATGCTTTGTACTGTTGAACAGCATTCTAGCCACTGGCAAGGGTGGTGGAATTCTGTAGCAATTTTTGTTTGGCTTTGGGGACACGAAAGGGGAACCAACTTGAAAACATGAACCGACCCTTTTGGGGACTAGTTGAGCCTCATGGGAACGCCCCTGTCCTTCCTGCTGGGATGGCCCCTGAAGTCTGTGAAATCAAAGAGAAGAGCGTTGTTAATCGGGGGTAATCAGGCAACCAACCGTAAGCAAACCAACCAAAAAGGACACCTATGAGCACAACTTCGATGTCTTCCCCGCCTGGGCCATCAGCGTCTTCTCGGCCGGCGGCCAGCTGGTTCCGAGCGCCGCCTGCACCGCTTGGCGCCGGCTGGGCTCCAGCCTTGCCTCGCGCGATTCGCTGGTGGCTCTCGGGAGGTTTGCTTTTCGGGAGGCGTACGGAGGTTTGCCGTGGTTTTTGCGGGTAACCCCCCTTTTTTGGAGGGTGCCACACACGAAAGCCACTCGTTTTTGCTTGCACCCCCTGCTTTCGCTGCCTTTTTGAGTGTTTTTGCTTCGAGTCATGGCCGCCCTTCCTGCCTTTTTTTGGCGGGCACCACACACACACACGAAAGCCACTCACCCAAATGGGGGCTCCCCGAATTGTGGTATTGGAGTGGTATAGCGCCTTTTTGAAGAGTACCACACACACACACAAAGAAAAAACAAAACACGCACACACACACACCAAAAGAAGGGGTCTCTTGTTTCTGGTAGTCGTCCCTCTTGGTAAAACCTGGGGGGTCTGCATGGGGCTCCTGCACTGAGGTTTCAGTTGGGCACCGCAGGAGTTGGTGGGTATGGTCATATCTCAACCTCCATGGATATATCTCCGTGGGGCTCTCAACCCCCAATTGTTGCTGAGTTCTTTCAAACTGTCTGAGCTGGGTGGAAAATGGGGGCGATCGCCACTTTCTGGAATAACCGAAGTTGGATTGAGCAGAATGCATAGGAAGCGCGTCTGCCCAAAAACCCAAACTCTCTGGCAGTGAATCCCCGTCACCGGGCCTGCCCTTGGAAACGGGTGCAAGGCTGTTAGGGTCCTGGCAGCCTTTTCCAAAAACCCCCGCCAGATGGGAAAAAACAACGACACGCGGACCTTTTTGACATCAGGAAGGTACAAGTCAAACACGGTCACTCGGTCCGCCTCTCGAAAGCTGAGATCCACCGCAGGCTCCGCCAGGACACCTCAAGGTTGAGGAGTCGGGGAAAACAAATCCTCTGGGCCTCACTTCTTGAGTGGATGGGCCAAAAAAAGGTCCGAACTTTGGGTTTCCAACTAAAATGGTCCTCCCAAAAAGTTGAAAGTCCACCAACTCAAGTGAGGATTCCCCCTTGTGCTTGTTTTGGAATCACTTGGGAGTCTCCTCTGCGATAAACATCCAAACCAAGATGCTTGACTTGCGGATGAAAACAGCTCCAGACTTCCAGACCTCCAGACCTCCAGTGGGGGGGGGGAATTGGACACCTCTGTTAATTGGTTGGATTGGTGAGCCACCAAACCAAAGACCAACAACACCTTTTGCTTTGTAGGGACACCGGGACACCCAGCCAAAATGGAACCCAACACCAAAACACCAGCGAAGGTCTGGGTGTACATCCATTGCCATAGGTGGAAGGCATGTTCCCGACTCGGGAAGAACCATCTCACTCGCCCAAAGATTCCCTTCAGGTCACAATCAATTTGAACCAAATGGGAAGCCACAAGGGGTTTATTCCCACTTCTGTGATACAAGGGAATCTCCCCCTGTATATGAAGTGTTAGTCTTTGGGAAGCCCTTTTTGTTGTATCACAGAAGCGGTCATTTCCCACAACCCTGTTTAGTCTCGTTTGGGAAGCTTGATTCCACAACCCTGAGACTAAACATTTCGGCAAAACCATTTGTCTTCGATCGTCTGATGGCTCGGGAACCATCGCCATGTGTCGAAAGCTAGAAACCGAATCCTCACATCCGAACTCCGAATCTTGCGGCTCACGGACTCCAAGCGTGCTTCTCCCTGCTTGGTGTTTTGGAGCCCAGTCGGTGGTTTGGTGAGCCGAATTGGTGGTTTGGAGCCGAATCGGTGGTTTGGTGGGGTTTGGATTGGTGGCTTCTCATAAAAGCCAGGCTTCAATCCCCAAACTGGCTTCAGATCCCCTGCTAAAAGTCTAACTTTTAGTGGCCGAAATGCAACTAAAAAGCAACAACAAAAACCGAGGAACCGCATGGCAACAACCAAGCAAACCAATGGAAACCACCAATCAAGCTGGCAACTCTTGGAGCCATGGGGCAGGCACAAAACTCACATCCGAACACTCCAGGAGCCACGGGAAGCTCCAAAAGTCCCGGTCCCTTTGCAGATTCCAGAAGTCTCTTCGCATATGGGTGCCTCGTCTTTTTAAGGTTGGACCCCCAAAATGGATTTTGGTTTTCACTTTGGGTGTTCCCTGAAAACCACCAAACAGGGGGTCCCCTTAAACAAACACACGCACACGCACACGCACACGCACACGCACACGCACACGCACACGCACACACGCACACGCACACCCGCACACGCACACCCGCACACGCACACCCGCACACGCACCCGCACACACACACACACACACACACACACACACACACACACACACACACACACACACACACACACACACACACACACACACACACACACACACACACACACACACACACACACACACACACACACACACACACACAAACACACACACACACACACACACACACACACACACACACACACACACACACACACACACACACACACACACACACACACACACACACACACACACACACACACACACACACACACACACACACACACACACACACACACACACACACACACACACACACACACACACACACACACACACACACACACACACACACACACACACACACACACACACACACACACACACACACACACACACACACACACACACACACACACACACACACACACACACACACACACACACACACACACACACACACACACACACACACACACACACACACACACACGCATTGGCATGACAAACTGGGGGGGTCTCGTCTAGTTCCCGAACCCCGGCACACGGCTGAAACATACCCCTCAATGCGTGCCCTTGTTGTTTGAGGCTTGATACCCGTTCTTGGGTTGTGCTAGTGGAAATCCAAAGGAAAGATGGTTTTTTAGGAGCTACCCCCATCAACGAGCTTGATTCAAGGAAGCTCACTTTCTTCTGGCCCAAATGATGATGATGATGGTGGTGGTGGTGGTGGTGAGGAGGAGGAGGAGGAGGATGAGGATGACGACGATGACGGTAGCGATGATGAATTTAAAAATATCAACAGTGGAAATATGGGGATCTTTGCCTAATTTGAGACAACCCCTCCACAATTTTCCCAGCCCACCTCCGGCTTTAGTCTACGTGTTTGTCTTCCGTGAGGGAGTCTGTTTGGGGAGGTGGTGTGCTTGGGGGTTTCTTTTGCTGGGGACTCCGCCTTCAGCAAAGGTGTCGTTGGTGAAGTCGCTGATGGAGATGTTGCCCTGCGCCTGCTTCTGGCCTTGCCAGTGAAAGCCGCGAAAGGTTTCTGACCGTCCACAAGAACTTTCTGGCGTGGTTCTGATGCTGTCGATGGACAAAATCCACAGAACACAAAATTGGGATGGGTGAAACCCGATTTGAATACTGTGATAAACCACCTACCAACCGGTCAGGAGTTTGCAGTATGGAGCCTGTGCATTTGGAGTCCAAAAAGGGGGGGGCTGAGATCAGGTTTGCCCCTGCATAAGCCCGATACAATCCGTCCAGTTCTGCAGCACTTATGTTGGTTGCTGTTGGCCCCTCTGCAAAAAGTTTATATGAGGCAAGGTCGAAATTACTTACTTGCGGCCGGTTCGCTAATTACTTAGTTTGAGAGTCCCCTATCGTTTTCAGCATTTCCATCCTTTTCCAGGGGTATCGTTTTTGTTGAAAGTCCCCTGTCGTTTGCCATGGTTTTGTGCATTATCCCAGTATCAATGAAACACCGAATACTAAACTCAAAAGAAGTAATTTTGACGGTACTTCATATAAGTTTTTGCGGATCCAATAGAAAATCCGCTGTTTCTCAAAAAGTTAAAGTCCAAAGATCCAACCAATCGCCTTCACACCCCTGAGCTCCAGCGGCAGAACTTGGAGATTGAAGGTGCCTTGGACCTCTTTCTTTGGCCTACAGGTGGGTTTAGGGTTTAGGGTTTAGGGTTTAGGGTGTCCTTGGACCTTTTGGTTGCCTGTGGCAGAATTTGGAGATTGAACGTGCTAACAGAGTCTTCCCTTGGACCTCTTTTTTTGGCCTACAGGTGGGCCTTTCGGTTGCCACTTGTGGTGGCCTGCCGGTGTAGCTAGGCACGCAACCAGCCAGCTTCTTCAGCTAGTCCTTTTTATCGGGCTCTCTTTCTTCCCGCTTGGGCAGTCCAAACTGATCCCCTGCTAAAAGTCCAACTTGCGGGCTAAGAACCTTTCTGGAACCGGACGATTCGCTGGTTCCGAACCGCCAAGCCTGGCAAGTAGAATCACCCGCTCGCTACCAGCTTTCTCGGTTCGGCGAGTCCAGCCTGAGGAATCCATCCACTTGAACTCGAACTGGACCTGGAGCTACAGATCCGCTCTGCAGGAACCTGTTTTCTGTGTGGGTGCGTCGTTTCAGGGTACCCGTTTTGGGGCTGTTATTCAAGGGAAGCGTCATTTGAGGGTACCCTTTTGCGGGGCTGTTACTCAAGGGAACCAAAGGAAAACCTTGAATAACAGTTTTGGAGCCTACTTAGAGACAAGCCCATGTCATTTGTTTCGTGCCTGGCTCAAATGTTTGTGTTTGTGCGTCAAGTCACCATCGTGTCCGATGATATACAATGGGATACGTAGCGCAACAGTTGCAAGTGGACTTTCTGGCTCTCGAGCGATCGAAGGGGAGCCTCCTCCCCAAGAAACTGACGAAGGGAGGCTGGTTTGGAGCATTCTCCTGGCGTCTGGCGGGTTCCATTTTGGTGGAAGGGTATGCAAGGTCCATGCGATGCCCGCATGGCGTCGTACGCAATGCCTTCTCAATCTCCAAGTTTGCGCTGCAGTTACACCAGTTCCAGAGATGGTTCAGATGCTCAAAGTGGCTTGGGTAGTGTGACAATGCGGGTTTGTCTCTTTTGAAGGAACCCGAAACACGTGTGATGTTCCTTTGGCTGCGCCTTAACACATCCCAACAAAACAGAGGGCACACCCGAGTCTGACTCAACCGGGGTGGAGACCCGGTTACCACAAACACTCCTGTTCATCCTGGTACCGCACTATTCGCAGCCTTGATTTTGGCAATGCTCCAATTTCCTGAACTCAGTTTTTCAACATGACATTTCCAAGTGCCCGCCCCAAACAGCTCGCAACGGTCTGCCGGCCTTTCCCCCAGCGAGAACCCGCCGAAAGCGCGGGTCAGCCTTGAAGTTCAGGTCGAAAATGTGTCGCATCTTGCCACGGATCACCGGCTTGGACGCCTGGCAGTTTGTTCTTCGCTTGGCCAAGTCACCGAGCTTGTCAGAACGGCGGGCTTTTTTCCTGGTTTGTGGGGGGAACCCAGAGGAAAACCGAAAATCACAATTTTCTTTAGAGGGTCCCCCCACTTTAGAGGGTCCCCCCAAATAAGGACACCGCCCTTTTTCAAGAATCGAGAGGGCAAACATCCGCACCTATTGGTTTTTTTTTTCTCTTGCTCTCCGTGGTTTGCCCATTTTCTCATCCCCTGCTAAAGTGACTAACTTGTGGGTTAACCCCCCCAACCATTAAACATTCATCCTCCAGATTGGGTCCCAAGGCCACTCTTTGAATGGGACTCGGTTGAACCCCCAAAAACGAAAAACCCATGGAACCAGACAGGAAAAATACAATATGTATAAGAACACAACCTACGGAACCTAAGAGCCTAAAAACCTAAGGAGCCTTAAAAAAAAACTCAAAACCGAACCTAAAAACCCACGGAACTGCCAAATCAGCTGCCCGCTCGTCGGGTCCGCGGGCCCAGCGCCTCGCCCTCGACCTTCTCCACGTCCTTGATGCACAGCACCCCACCGGCGGCCTCCACGTCCTGCACGGAAACCCTCGGACCTGGGTGGATTGTTGGGGAGGGGGGGGGGGGGAGAGAGGCATCTGGAAAGAAAGGGAGCGTTGTTTTTTCATTCGTTTTTTTTGGAGGGGTCCGTTCTTCCATGTTCTTCCTTTGCTTTGTTTGGGGAAGGGTCTGGAAAGAAAGAAAGACAGACAGAAAGACAGAAAGACAGAAAGAAAGACATACTTGAAAGCTTCAAAACAAACACACATGGGACACTTAAACAAGTGTTCCCTCAAGTAGCCCGAACCCAAAGGGGACACAATTCGATGGCAAAATCCTGTGTTCCGAACCATCAAGGTAACAAGGAGCCGCGATAGTCAAGGCATTCAATTTGAAGTCTACCCCAACCCCATAGCAATCAGAATTGGGCGGTTTCATTGGGACCAAAGCCCCCGAACCAAAACAAACAAAAAAAGCCGAGGTCAATCAGTTGTTGGGACCCTAAAGCAGGCTGGGCAACTCTTTTTGTTTCCCATGAACCAAACCCAAACAGACGGGGCATCCCAGGCTCCGGGAGGTCCGAAGCGATCGTTTCGGACCCAGGAGTCACTTTTTGGAGTTGGTACCTTAAGGGACACCACAAGAATAAGAACACCGACCGAATCATGGGGGCAAGTTAAAAATGGGTAACGTGAGTCACTTGCAAAAAGAGCCCGGTGTTAAAATGGTTGACCCAGAACCATGCTTCAAGAATTCAGAAGGATATCCGCAGCTATTTATGGCAGGATTGTCCCTTACCTTCATCTACCCAGGTTTTGAGCACGTGGCTCACCTGGTCTTGTTTGTGGGTTCACTGCGACAGGCAGATTGGGCATGTCTTGCTGGGAGGGTACCCTTTTGGTGGAGGGAAACCAAAAGAAAAGCCAAGCCGTCCAGGCGTCTGAGACAAACAAATTATCTGCAAGAAATAAGAGGCCTGATAAATTAGCTCGCCCCAAGGAACTAGGGGTCTTTAAAACTTATGTACAAGGCTCTGAGAGCTTTACCATCCGTTTGCTTCAGGCCCCTGAACAAAAAGGAAAACATTTCCAGTATAGTGATAGAATCCCTTTTAAAACCAACAGGGGGCCATAAAAACATATTTTGAAACGCATGGAAGAACTTCTGTGTGGATACGGAGTCCGAGTTTGCCTCTCGTGTCTGAGCCCGTGCCGTGAAAAAGTTTTAAACCCGCTTTAACGGCGGCACTTGCCTCTCACCAGGGTAAAAAAACAAATTATTGGTTTGCTGATTGGCTAAACAAACGAGAATTGAATGGGATATGTCATTTCTATCCCTCTAGACCTTCCACATTCTTCTGGAGAACTTCAGGGGCCAGAAACGGGAAATTTCCAGAAAGACGGGCCCCCTACTGGAAGCCCAGCCAGGCTGGGCTTCGGTTTCTCCCACCGAGTCAAGGTGCCGAGGTGCCGAGGCAGCGAGGCAGCCGCGAGTCCTGGAAGCTTCGCAGAGCTTCTGCCAGGCCGTTCTTCGCGAAGTCCGTGACCTCGTTTCGCATCGCGCCGCCGGACAGACCGATTTTATATATATATATATATATATTATTATTATTATTATTATTATTATTATTATTACCCAGGCCTTCTAAAGGCCAAGTTTAACTAGGCCGTTCTATGAAAGGCCTCAAAAAACCTATGGGCCGATTTTGCCAAAATCAAGCAATCCTTAGGGTTCCACTTCTTGGGGGGTTTGGTCACTCACAGCACCACGCAGCAGCGCATCCGCAGCAGCAAAAGCCATCTGCGGCTTCATCAAGTGCGCCCCGGCTCGTTTTACCGCGCGCTGTTCTCATTGAGTCGGCGCATATGACGTCGCATGGCCAAGAGCCTGGGGTCAGGGAATCACATTTTGACATTTGTGTTTGCCTGCAACCCACCTGAACTGGGAAGATCGAATGACAGAGCGCTCCAGGTTTCGCCGATCAGAGATTTGAACGACATCTTAGCTGAGTCAGCTTGCCAAGGAAGTTGTTGCATGATAACACTGGCTGGTTTGTTTCCTAATTTTGTCCAAGATGCGCTTGAGCCACTTCATTTGATCCTCGTCCAAATAGGTATGTTCATGACGAAAATTAAGTCCTGTCAGCCCCCGCAAACAATGCGAACAACGTGGCAATTGTGTTTCGATTCAGACAAGGCTCTGCGCCCCAAACAGTCCACCATTTGGTGGTGCCAAGCCTAGGGGCAACCATGATTCGAAAGACCTTGATCACAGTTCAAACTGTGGAATGCTGCCCAAGCCGCATGGAGCTTGGGTCGACAAATCCAGAAGCACATCCCCAACCTGCCAGGCAGATTGGGTTTTATAAGCCACCCCAACCCCCCATCCATAAATAAAACAGAGAAGCCCCCTTCCACCAAATGCCTCTGAGAGATTCGGGTGCATTCCTTGTGCACTCTAGAAAGCGCATCCCGTGCCCATGAATCTGCTGAGCTTGCTCAGCCGACCTGGGCGAAAGACCCCCCAATCTCAGCCACTTTTTGTTCAAGTCCGAGTTGCAGGTATCTGGGCGCTTGCTCTGCGGCGTACATGCAAGAGGCCAGCTCGCTCCTTGGCTGAGGCCAGGGCATGGGCGAGACATGTGTTTTCCAACTGTTCCAAGCTTAAGGCTTTCCAAGGTTCATTGCAACACAGGAAGGCACGAGAAGGTCATGCTGGGGCCATTCGCGGGCACCCCGGGCAATTTCCATCCCCAGCCAGTCTCCGCAAAAGCGGTCAGCAAGCACAGTATGGGTGACTGCCATGTTGAGGCAGTCACTCAACCAGGCAATCAAAACCCGGGTGTTGAACCCCTTGGCGGCAAAGTGAGCCCCAGCAGTGGGCAGAATTCCAACCTGCAGGGCTTTGAAACGAACCCGAATTCAATGAGAAGCTCCAACCATAACATTTCTTCAAGAACAGGGCACCTTCTTGTCATTGAATAATGGTTGGCTGCTGTGCACCTTCTCCTTTCGGCACCACGCTTTGAAATCTTTGTATGCAATCTTGAGCCACTGGTTCATGGACAACTCCGAGAAATTCCCGAAATAGGACAGCTCAACCAATAGAATCCTAGCTAGGGGCAAAACTTCCCCCTTCCCCCCAAACAAAAAACCACTTGAACAAAATAAATAGGAGGACAAGACTATTGAAACCTGGTCTCAGCGAACTGCCATTGCATCCGCCGGCCACGCCCAGATTGATATTGTGTAAGCTACAATGTCTCAGGAAACCGTAGTGAAATTTTGGCAGCAGCAAGAGTGGGCCTGCGACACGTGCAGCACATAATGAAGTACTAGCACCCTCAACATTTGATACTAGCTAGGAGTTGAGGTAAGGCACTCGCGTTTCGGTGAGAGACGCAGTTGCTCAAAAACTGCAAGTGGGTGAGCTCTGTATTTTGCCATTGGGGCCGGTCACCAAAATCCAGGTATTGGTTCAAAGAGCCAGGTTGCTTTGATACATCGCATCTCCAGCAAAACAGTGAATTCCGCCAGGTCCGTGTCAGGCCCAGCGCAAGGCAATGCCATTCCCAATCTCCTCTCAGCTCCGTGACTGCGAACTTGAGCTGGCGCGGGTTGCCGTCGATGCTGCAGGCCAATCCATCATAGCAGCGGATCAGCGACTTAACGATGGAGCGGAAGAGTGGACGCAGGGTCCGGTCGCCCAGGCAGGTACTCTCATCCAGCGCAAGCAGCAACCACCGAGACATTCGAGCTGATCTTGGGTTCCAAATGGGTATGTTGATGAAAAATCCTATAACCTTTTCTCCAGTTGCATTGCAATATTTTGCAGCGTCCCCATAAAGTCCAAGAGGGATGTGGTCTCCTTCTGAAACATGGGCCCATGGGCATCCAGTTGCCTTGCTGTGTTCCCAATACTTTCCGATAGATTCTGGAGGCACTTGAAGCTGCAAGGTACCAAATAAGTAAGGCAGAAGCCGTTCGGGAAGGATAACAGGGATCTGTTTGGAAAGAGGGTGATCTTCACCAGACTTGCCCTTGACTAGCGTTGCCACCCAAACTGGCTCCTTCAGGGTTTCAACTGTTTTGCTAACAGAAAGGATTTTGGAACCATACCCTTTACCCTGCAAACTAAGCTGTTAAACAAACAGTTGTTCTCCCCCGCTGTCCACTGGAGGCTTCAGTGTCCGCCGGAAGTCCCTTGCGCGATTGAACTGGCTGAAGCTACCCAGCTTGCAAATCGTGTGAGGAAGCCCTTGGGGAGTGTCCTGCCACAATAAGAAATGTTTCGGGGTAACACAGCAACCTGCCTTCAGGCAGGAGTTAGCATCCCGCATGGCGTCTGCAATGGGTGCCTGGGCTCACTTTACATTATTATCGAGGGGCACGGCTGAAAATTTCTCAGGGCTGGGCTCCTTTGGCGAGTCGATCCAACATGTCTCCAACCTGATGTTGTCGCCCATCTCGTTCATCGATGGCCAAATACCTAGCACCTGCGGGCGATAAGAGGGCACCCTCGAAAGTAGTCCAAGTGAACTTCAGCAACAAGGGCTCCATCGTGCAAGTGCGCCATGGTTCTTTTTCTCGGTCCCCAGGTGATGACTCTGCATCGTGACACGTGTAGATTGGCAACTAATTATCGATACCCGTCGAAGCCGTGTTTATCACAGCCCGTCTAATGGGCAGCCACAAAATCTAAAAGCAAACAGGGCTTGGCCGAATATGCCACATTTGGAACTGGGGTTTATGCACATGATACCAAGGGCCAAAACTATAGTCATGCCACAAGTGTTTCTTGCCATGCCCCAAAGCAGTGAAAACTAGGCACCGCCTGAGGGCCGCTTCTTCTTGCCGATTACAGGCTCCATCGACTCATCAAAATGACGAATCTCTTGAACTACCTGCTCATTCAATTTCTTGAGCTCTTCTTCCTGCAAAACACATGTAGGGGAATGACTCGCTGCAAAACTTTGGTGTGTCCTCGGCACCACGGTCCAAGGCATCCTGGATGAGCCCTCGGCACTTGCCAAGGCGGGCAACAGAGTTGTCGATGTCTTTCTCCAGGGCGGATCTCAGGTTAGGGGACCTGAGGCGTGAGATGGTTGACATCAACTAAAACCCAAACATTTTCAAGCAAGTGGCCACTTTGCCGCATTCGCGCGCTGCAGGTTGGCTTGCTGAATCTTCCGGTTCATATCGTTCAAGACCTGGAAATCAGATGGTTTCAGGGGAACCCTGTTGTGTGATAAACAGGAAATACCAACGCACCTTCTTAGCACCTTTCAGTCCATCCTTGCTTTTTTCTTTGGACTCATGATCATCACCTTCATCATTCCCCTTCTTTGGTGGGGACTTCTTCTTCTTGTTTCGCTTGGTGCGCAGAGACCCTTTGGATGATTTGTTGCTCTTCTTGGCATCCTGCATGCCGCAGACCAAGGAAATTTGACCATTCGATTATATACGAGAAAAAATGGACAAGGTGTACGTGTTGGCGGGGTCCTTCTTCCCTTTCGTTTTGGAAGGGTAGCTTTCCTCGTCGTCATTGTTGTCGCCGGCTTCGCTGCTAGTTTCTCCATCTCGCATCTTGAACATATCGGAAATGCGGTTCTCTTCGGATGCTGTTTCTTCGTCCTCCACTAACGTCAGGTACTGCTTCAATCCTGACAGCAAGTGTTGCAACCTTTAGTTCAGAGTAGCACAAGAAACATGTTGACTCCTGGACATTCTGGATGGTCTCTAATCTCTGCCTTTGACAATGTCTTATCCAGCTCCTTTCTCTCAATGATCTTGTCAACTGAGTCTTTCTCGAAATAGTCCAGCAGCTTGACTTTGGTAAGCCACTTCCGAACTCCCCTCTTTGAGTTGGAATGGATGTTCTTGATTTCTTTGTACATGGTTCCCGCCCGCCAATTGCCGCCACAGGCCATGAAATCCTCGAACAAGAGGGATTGCTGATGATGACCTGGCCGCAGGCAAGGGAGGGGTGGGGCTGGATTGTTTATGAAACCCTCCTGGTATTTTGACCCTTTTGGGCCCGCTGGCAAAAACATAACAATAGCTCGAATACACGTACATGACAGAAAACACATGGATGCCCTCGCCAGTCTTGAGGCCCTGGCAGTACTTGAATCTCTTGGTCAAATCCTTTATTTCTTTGGGTGTGTTGCGACCTCATGATGGTACTGGCAGCAGTGTCACAGTGTGTGTGTGTGTGTGGGATCCCCAGCCCGAATGCTCAGTTCGCAGCTATTGCAACTTCTCCAAAACCTCATGTAAACCCTTGCAGCTGCCTTCTTCCGTTCCTTCATGCAATCCCCTGCGGCTTCTTCCCCAACAGGCTGTTCAGGGCTGGCGCCTGGTTGCACTTCTGCTGGCTGTGATTCCTGCTCCATGTCATTAGCATCATCCTCTTTATCCGTGGGCTTGGCTGTTGTTGCCTTAGCTTTTGCTTTGGCTTTGCTTCCCTTAGGCGATGTTGTGGCTTTGGCTTTCGGCTTGGCTTTAGACTTTGCAGCGCCCTTTGACTTAGCAGCTTTTGTTTTTG